ATTACAGTCCTTAGTACTCCTTGTGCTCCCAGGGCGGATCATCGCTTCTATACGATCATCTCATGAAGTGTAGGTGCACCTCCTACCTGTCGTGTGTGGCTGGCGCGAAAGTGGCATCTGAAGCTCCGTGGATCTTGTATGAATGCAAGATTGGGGTGAGTTTGGTCGATGAAATGTCCCAGCGAGGCGAGGCAAAATCCCATAAAGAGTGCGAAAAAGATGCAGCTTGATTCGGCAGATGCAGCCCACGTTTCCAGTGCGTGTAAGAAGTGCTTTGTGCCTCCATCATCCTCACCAGGTTGTCTCTGATGCTCATGCTCTCACTCATTCCGCGCCGATGACTCAGCAAGTCTCTGAGACAACCGCCCGGCTCCAAACGGTGGCAAAACCTCGGCAACGGCACCCACCGGGCTCATCTCCTATCGGGTCCATCAGCTTTCATCCGGCAGCCTGCAACTGAACAGAGCATCATGTGGGGTTCCGCAGGTGCAAAAACCCGTACTTATGGGGATGGATGGAAGACCTTGTGCGAATCGAAGCTCTTGTCTGTGATGCAGTATTACGGGTACAGGCACGTTACACGCTGCATGTGTGGACTTCGTACTGCCTTCGTTCGTGCTTGTGTCACGAAACACGGGGGGCCACCAGAGACAGGCGGAGAACCCGTCCCGAACCAAAACTTGGCGAAAGATGAGAGGAGACAGCGTCGGAATAGCCGATCTTGCATCGTCCTGATTGTTTGCACAAGCCCTTGGTGATACTCGGAAGTCGATCGCCGAAGACAAAGGGAGACGCTTGGATACTAGTACCCTCTCCAAGCTGGGCACATGTTGACCAAGAGAGTCAGCACGGATTGGTCGTGCTTGGCCCGTTCACGGCTCCAAGGTCCCAAGGGACTGCGGAGGTATGTAGGGGAGGCTGTCGTACGGAGCGCTTGTCGGCCAATGCAAGCTCCTGTGCAGTGTACAGTACCTTACGAGGTGCATGTGCTCCATCCGTATGGAGAGCCTGGTGCACTTGACGTACATGCACCTTCGAAACCACGACTTTAGCCTGCCTCACGATTCTTGTCCCTTTGCTCGGGGACAAAGAGACAGAACAGCAGCTCACGGCTCCAGGTCTTCGCTGCAGTTGGTTGGTCGCGTAATCGTCGGTACGTTCCTCGTCTGTGACCCTTGCCAGCCGGTCCTTTGGCGCGGGTGTTGGTGGGGCGAGCTTGAGGGGCGCATCATCAAAGATCCTGGCCTTTGGAGTCCCTTGAATGGATGGATTCTTTCTTTTGGGGGGCTGTGGATGTGTGGATGCGTGGATGATGCGTGGGTGTGGATGTGGATGCGGATGCAGTCTCTGCTCTGCCGTGACAACGCCTCTCAGGTCCAGCGAAGCGAAATTCAGCGCCTGCTTCCTTCTCCTTTGCCCGCCCTGGAGCAGCGGCTCTTGAAGTTGGTGACACTGGAGTAGCATCTGTACTCCATCCCTGCGTCTGGTGTGTTCAAAGTTGCATCCAGATGCCCCGAATGCACGCTGGTTGACTGGCCGGGCTTGGCTCCATCATTCCACCTCGTCTCATCCACCGTCTCCCGGGCTATAATAAGCCCTGGGCAGCCATCCATCTCATCGCACCCCCTGGTCCCCGGCACGCACATCGCAGCCGTCACCCCAACCCCTGTGCAGATGGATGCATTTCACAGGCATGAAGGGGAACAAGGCAAGCTGGCGGCGCCACCCTCCAGACGGACCGCCCACGACGTCGCCGCCCGCCCCCTTTATCGCCTGTGACCAGTGCCACGTAGTCTGACGATAGGTAAAGTCACCTCACCCTCCAAGACGTTGCTTTGACCCGGGAGGCTGCTGCGAGGAAACGAGACGAGATCCTTGGCCTCTACGACAAGCTTTTCCTGTGCTGCCAGCTCGAGAGAGGTTGAAAGAAATCCAAAGGGAGGAGGGACGGGGGGACGTCAGTGCGCTGCACATACGAGTAAGCCTTTGAATCTTGAAATTCAGGGCCACCGTATTCAGAGGCTGGGCAATCGAGGCGTCGGGGGACAAAGGGATCGTGGATCATACAAGGCGCTGGTACGAGTTGGTAGGTATGTAAGCGAAGCCATTGGATAGAGCAGCACAAACCCCGACAGCGAACTTTTTCGTGACGAACTCGTCCCATGAGCTCAATTGACAAGATCCCGTGGCCGTCTCGAGAGCGCCAGAGCACGAACCTGGGCGGCGACCAAGGACAACGCCTGCGGGGCGCGGGATGTCCAGGCACTACCACTTGGTTACATGGAGAGTAACGAGGCCATGTCTCCATTTCCGGAGTAGTGCCCAGCCGATCTGCAATCCGTCTCAGATTCCTGAGCATGCAGCGACGCAGCTTGTTTGTGCAGCCCTGCTGGGGCGCTCCGGGGTTGTCGTTTCCAACGTCGTGGCGGCAGCAGACGTCCGAGATGCTGCTGAGAAAGAAGAGGAACAGACGCAGGCGGAAACGAACGGGATGAAGCGAGGCATCGAAGCCGGGAAACGAACAAAGCAACGTGCTTCTTTGGTCGATCGGAATCTCGATTGGGGTGATGGAGCCAGCCGGAGCTTGCTGCAGACAATGACCGACCGACTTTGGCTGTTCGCCACCGCATGAAGTGAGGCTTTTGGGGCTGCGCTACGAGGCACAACCCTGGGGCCAGTGCCTGTCTCGGTAGCGCCTTAGTAATTCCGGGGGGACTCTCACATTCACCCTTTACCTGTATCGTATGTACTCCGTACTTCGTACCTTGGGCTTGACAAGCCCAGCTTGAGCTTCCAGTTGTGCACAAGCCTTCGATTTCCCCCCTTTGCATGGGCTTCCGGCATCGCTTTTTCTTAGCCGAGTCCGTAACGATATGACCCAGCGGTTTGGCCGAATCTGGGTGCAGCGGGTTCGACGGGAAATCAACCACTCCGCGCGGCTCTTGTTTTGCTGAGGCGTTGTGCCCAGATTCTGGGCTTCGGAGAACATTCTGTCGCAGAGACAGGGGTGAGAGACACGGCTCGTACCTCGTACTGTAGGCAAGGGAAGGCCATGATGCTGTGGGCATCACGAGAATTGCGAGCAGAGCAGCCACTGCAGAAGCAGGGACAAGGTGAGATTGAGTGATTGATGAGGGAACCGGCGGTTGGCGCCACTGACGCTAGGAACCGGTGCTTTTCAAGGTTGTTACAAGTATGACCTCCTCCCTTCTGCCTCTCTTCCAGATTCGAGCCCTTATTCGCCCTTTGAGGTTGGCACGCGGCGCTGCCACGCTGTCGAGCCCGATTACGTGACAGTGCCAATGTGAGGCCTGCCGTACGTGGTACCAACCTAGTTCATCATCACCGTAGATTACCTTGTTTTTGTACACAAATCATTCTCGCTGATAAGCTGTTAATGCACGCACTCGTCAGATCGTGGCACGCAGAAACGACCTCACTCGTCCCCGCAAGCCAGTTCGTTCCACGGCGGCGAAACGTGCGAGTTCATCTGCCGTCTCTTATTGCTGGTTTCCTCGTCCGTCTCCCCGTCTGTCGGAACCCAAGGACCCCGTGAAGGATCAATGCTTCGACTGCCTATGAGGTAGCGCCTGCTGGTATTACCACGGTAACTAAGGTACAAACTCGCGATTCCCTCGGCAACCTTGGCCAAGGCCTCAACTTCAACGACTACAGTACTAGGGTTCTCCTCCAGTCCCCCGTTTCTCCCGTTGCCCTACCGCCATGCTATCTCGTTCCACAGCGATTTGAATGCTCAATCTAGCGCCAGGCCAGTCCGCTTTCGTGTTCGACCAAGTGCAGCGATAGTGCAGTAGTGCCGAGTACGCAGCAGTACCTGTTATGTGGCAGAAGCCGTGGCGTCAGCTCGGTACTGCTCCGTACCTTGAAATGGGGGAGCCCTTTGCCTTTTAGGTTACGGTCACAATCTTTGCCTTTGGCCATCGGACAACTGGCTTCAAGGGCCCGGACGCGCCGCGGTGACAAGCCGAACGCCTCTTTGCACTGAAGGGCAGCCCCAGCGGCTTGCAGTGAACCTCTGCGACTACCTTCAGGTTAGTACATAGGAGGCACCTTGATCAGTGGAATCGACCGCTCTGCTGCGCTGTGCAGCACCCGCCCTCTGCCAGGCCCGATTGGGGGCTGCCGACGCGCAAGAGTGTCATGCTGCAGAGGCTCGTTTGTGTGCATTTGGGCCCCCATGGCAAGGCTAAGGCGGCCGTGGAGGTGTAAGGTACCTTACCTAATGTAGCTCACAAAGTACGTACGAAGTACCAGGACAAGCACCTTAGGGAGGCAGATTTGGGGGGAAGATCTCGAAAAAGGACCCCGTCCAGCATTACCTCAGGTTTTGGGAACGCCTTGGGTGCGACCTCAGCCGGCCTGTCATTGGGCACAGGACGCCTGCGGGCAGTGGCACGGTACGAAAAGTATCGGCGCCAGCCCTTTAGCTGATTTGATCAGTCAGTGTCTGGCGCCGGCTATAGCGCAAGTCCATCGGCTGGGCCTGATGGTCAAGCTAAGGTTCTCTTTCGGCGCCTCGCCTTTTCTGGACCGTCCAGGCTGAAGGGCCGGTGCAATGGAGGGCGGGTGCATGTATGCGGTACGCGACGGATACTTAGCGGTGGCGCGGGCGGTGGCGGGCAGCCACGTACTGGGGGTTGTGGCTGCAAGTACCGTGTACGCACCCATGCGCGGCATGGCAAGGGCCAGCCTGGATGTACCGAGAGACAGACCTGGAGACACGCTTGGGCGGGAGGTACTTGGTACTTGGGACTAGCACCTTGAACCAGGTTGTCTCTGCCGAATTCGATTCCATCTTCTCTTGAATCTTCACTCACGCATTCCCTCTCACCACCAGCCTGTCATCCCGCCTCTGCCCTGGCGGCTCGCCATCACGCCTCACACGCTGCCAGACTGCTGCAGACTCGCCTGCGACGACCAGCCGTGACACTGCCGCCACCTGCTGGCGCGCTCCCCCTCGATCTTGGACCGCCGGAGCCATGGTGCTCAAGGAATTTCTCGACTCAGACCGAGTCAACTTTCTCATCTGGAGGTTCGTCGTCACGCCCTCGAATGCTACTCCGCCAGCCAGCCTTGCGCCCTCGCCTCTCACTCCGTCTTTTTCTCATGTTTTTAAACCGTTTTCCGTGCCCTGCACCGCTTCAGGAACGCCTGCTGCAGCCCAATCCTTGCCTCCAGTCTCCCCCGTTTGCCCTGGCGGTTTTTCCGGTCCCAAAGACGCTTTTTTGCTGACCCTTTTTGCGCAGGTATTTGCTAGAAGGCAGTACGTGGAACCGCGGCTTTTCTCCCTCCCCCAATCTCTATTCCCTCTCCATTTCCTCTGTTTTCATCCCCGTAGGACCAGGCCAGTCTAGAGTCTAACCTGTGGAATCATTTTTCCATTTATCTCCAGATTACAGAGAAACAGCCGCCAAGTTCCAGAAGGAATGGCACGTCAAAGAGCCGCAACGGGACTTCGAGTTTGCGCGCCATGTCAAGGGCCGTGCTCTAGTGTCCGTTGTCAACAGCGGCCTCATCTACTATGCTCTCGAGCGTGAATATGCACGCCGTCAGGTACGCATTGAATCATTATGCCTTTTGACTGAGGCTTGCCGAGCCTCTTTTTTTCATTTTTTCCTCTCATGTCGCGATTGGGCTGCGGGCTGCGTGTGCGCCAATCGCGCATCGCTGCTCCCGAATTCCCTTTTTTTGCCCCCCTTGACTAACCATCCGATTCGGCAGCAGATGCCTGAGGATGCGGCTGCACAAGACGAGTCGCTGCACAACGGCATCTTTGGACCGCTGGAGGTGCAACCACCGGCCAAGATGGAGGAGGATGTCGAGAACGATGAGGATGCGCCGGGAGAGGAGGACGACGAGGCGGAGCTGTCGCGAAAACGGAATCACAATTCACTGCCCAACGGGTCGCCCTCCAAGCGCCCACGGCTCGATAACCGCTGCGAGAGCAAATCCGATGCAGCCACCGTCAGCACCCCAATGGATGTGGACCAGCCGGACGACCACCATCAGGACGACGACCAGAGCCTCAACGACAACCACGCCTACCCGTCGCCGCTCGAGGGCGAGCAGGTGCCGGCGATTGTGCGGACGGAGGGCCCCGAGCAAGGCACGCAGGTCGACAAGGTCGAGCAGCTGTTTGCCGGCACCACCTTCATCCGCCTCATGGACGACTGCGCCACGGAAACAGCGCCCTCGCCCTCAGCCGGCTCTGGCTCTGAGAACGCTCCCATCCTGCTGCAGTGCGAGTGGAACCCGACAGACCCATCAATACTGGCGGCTGCTGGGACCGATGCGCTAGCCCGCGTTTGGACCATTTCGCGTGCCACGGCAACTGACCAAGGCGACCATCACGTGTCTCCCCACGCCCACGCCTTGCTGGATCCCGAGGCGCCCAAGACGACGACGGTGACGGCGCTGGCCTGGATGTCGGACGGCTCGTCCATTGCCGTGGCCAGCGACTGCGGCGGAGCTCGCGCCGCCATTCACCTATGGTCTGCAGGCGGTGAGATTGTCCAGGCGCTAGACGTGTCGGAGCCGCCCGTTGTGCGGCTGTTGTGGAATCCCAGTAACACGGCGCTGCTCGCCATCTCACCAGAGAACAAGACCGACACGCTGGTGACGGTGCACTCGATTGCCACAAACAAGTCTCTTCGCTACCGCCTCCCGGGTCACAGCCTCGATACCGGTCTGGATGCAACATGGACCGGCGACGCGGAGTTCTTGATTTGCGGCGGCGGCACGTTTGAATGCCTGACCGTGGGCGAGACGGCGATCCAGAGGACTCGTAAGTTCGAGACGAAGGAGGACGATCACTTTGCCCAGGTCTTGTTCGACCCACGGTCCCAGCTCGTCGCTACATCGAGCGACAAGGGCGTCTTGGACGTAAGTTGCCTAATCAGCGTAGGGGTGAAGGGATATCAATGCTAATGTGCGTGCAGCTATGGGACGAATCAGGGCAGCGCCGGTCAATATCAGCCCATCAAGGTTCAATCACAACGATGGCTTGGCAGCCATTGCCTTCGGGCGAGTTGGCCGACGACGACGAGCGGTTGATCGCCACCGGAGGAGAGGACGGCGCCATTCTGATATGGAACGCCAGAAGACCGGAGAGCAAACCAAAGTGCTTCTTCACAATGGATCTGCCAGTTGTGCGGCTCGCCTTTACCCCCGACGGAGCCTTTATTGCCGGAGCCACTCCCAGAAGCGTCACGATATGGAAGGTTGACAGCCATTCTTTGCCGCGGGCCGTATGGAGGCCTTCTAGGGATGAGTTTGAGAACTTTAGAGGCAATCAAGATTCTGAGGAGGAGGACGAGCACTGCTTGTGCTGGGATAATACTGGCCAGAAGCTGGCCTATGGCGCTAACAGTCGAGTAAGTGTTTCTGAACTAGGGAACGACTTGTGGACAAAGTACTAATCAACTTTCGACAGCTTGCCATTATCAGCTTCAGGGCATAGAGGTCGCTGGCGCTGAGGATGAAAAGACGCAAACATGTCCGATGGGCAAATGCTCGCTGACGTGGGATGGACCGGGCGGCTCTTCGCGGGTCTTGCTCCCGCCTCGAGGACACAACGAGAAAGCGAGGAGAAACAGACTCCTAAACGAAACGGCATCGGCGAGCGTCATGAGCGCCGTGATTTGGCTCAGCTCATCCCGGCTGTGGCTTCTGCCCACACATTCTATTTGATTTTTCTCTATTTGCTGTCTCCCCAGCCTCTCTCTTATTCTTTCATTGAGCTATAAGATGGTTAGACGGATGGGAGGAGGTGCGGTGCGGTCGAACGCATGGCTTGGGCCAAGTGCCCATGGCCTCGATCCTTTTGTATACCGGCATTCCTCGTTGGGCTTTCTTTTTCTGGTTACGAACCACGATATATCTGGACAGCAGGAGGGGAGCTGACTGAACTATGCTAATCATCTTGACTATGCGGATACACTCGAATGTAAGGGCAGGGATAAAACGGACGTACGGAGTACGAGTGGATTTTTCTTTTTCTTATTTTTTCCCTTGTTTCTTTATCATTTTTGTTTTCTTCTTATGCTCCATTTAGCTCCATTCTCTCCTTTGTGTTCAAGGCAGCGAAGAGCAGGGAGCCAGCGAAGGCCATCCTCTTTGTCTGCTTGCATGTGTTTGAAGAGGTCGGGGGTAGTGCGGCTGCTTCGTGTACAATAAATCTGCAGAGTACTATCAACATGTAAAGGGACAAAGTCCCAGTCCTACGACATGTTTCTCTTGCTGTTCAACTGAAATATGCCTGAGATGCATTTTGATGCTGCCAGGTTGGGTACAGGTGCAGGTACAGGTACAGTAGAAAAGGCGGGGGTCCGTCGAGGCTCCGCTGACTCGAAGCTAAAAGCAAATCGACGCTAAGGCCCGGCAGACGTGAAGCTGCTAAGCCTCATTCATCCTCCCTCATTCATCCTCAGCTCAAACGACGACTTGAACCCTCAGCACGCAGCTCTTGAGAGATTCAAAAACCCGATCATCAGACATATTGAAGCGCGACTCGAATGACGTCACAAGAAAGCGCGCATTGAACACAAGGCAAAGTCAATTTTAAGGGGAGGAACAAGCAAAATAACAAAAGGAAAAGAAAGGAAGGAAAACACAAACATGTCTGCTCAACAAGCAAACATCAACCTCCAATACCAACAACAGCTCCAGCAGCAGCATGAGCAGCAACAACTTCAACAGGTTCAGCAGCAGCAGCAGCAGCAGCTCAACGCCCAGAATCCTCAGCAGCGCCGCAAAAAGAAGGCGCTGCCCTTGAAGAAGAAGACGTTCCCGACGATTGTGTCGGCGGGGATGCGCGATCGGCAGGCGAGGGGGAAGAATACGCATAGGAAGCATGAGGATGACGTGACGGACGATGATGATGAAGATGATGATGAGGAAGATGAAGAAGAAGATGAGGAGGAGGAGGAGGAGGATGAGCAGCTCGAAGGGTATGTTCATTCTTTGCCCTGCCCTGACCTTGCCGTCTCCATGCATTCTTTCCAGCAACTTTCATTTCGTGTCTTGTCGATTTTCAGCTTGACTTCTTGTTTTGCGCGTTATGTTCTGACGTTTTTATGCCATACGTTGCTTGTTTAAAAGCTATGATGAACTTGATGAAGATGATGAAAGTGATGATGATGATGATGACGAAGAAGAAGACGAGGAAGAAGAGGAATCCGACGACGATAAGACTAATTCATCCAGCTTCACCTACAGATCGGAGCCCTTTGAGACGCGCGAGCGGAGGGCCTATGCGCTCGCCGTGCTGGATCGGCCGGAGCAGCTGATGATGTATGCGAATACCACAAACGACGTACGTTTCATTCCCTTCCCCTCTTCCCTCCACCATTCCCCCATTTCCACTCCTTCACTCCTCCTTTGCGCGAGAGGTCCCGTCATTCGTCTCTTGGGAGGTGAAGAGGGAAACCAATCATCTGGGAGAGAATCAACCGTTTGCTGACATCGGACTGGATTGCTCGAAAGCAGAGCGTCGCAGGCCAGAGAGTGCGCTTCACGAGAATGATGTGCGGCTTCGACGACGAGGCCGACTGGCGCAACAATCTGCACTACAAGGCTGCCCTTGCGGCGGCTAAGGACAGGCAGCTCAAGGTGCGCAGGGGCGCGAGCATCCCGAGAGATTTTTGATTTTTTTCCTTGTTCTCTCTCTCTCCTCTTTCCCTTTCTTTTGTTCTTCTTTCGATGATGATTCCTTCTCCTCTTGGGTTCGTTTTTTCCCCCTTTTTTCTGAAACTTGATGGCATAGAAACTACGTCTGGCTTTTCTTAATTCCTTTTGTGACGACTGGGACGGAAGTATGGATGACTAGCAGCCAAATTGGGTTTCACAGAATGACTTCTGCCCTTCACGGCGATTGCTTACTCTGATTCATCTCTTGTTACTGGGTATACTGGGTACGATATGGACATATAATGAGTGGACAAAATGGACACAACTGAAATTCTAGTCTAAAGATGGATATGTCTGTCCAGCTATATATATCCTAGACATTGATGATAACCCCTCCTTCATAAGTCATTAAATGGTGCCCCAACCGAAAACGCCAAAAGGGGGATGATCTGTCCAAACATATATAACCCTTTTTCACAAGTCCCTCTCCGAGTTATCCAAAAGTGAACCGGATAATGAGAAACACACAGGCAGACACACGACTGCCAAGCACAAACGAAGAACCAAAGAAACAACAAGTATGGCAAAAAAGAGGTCCATTCGCTCTTCTCTCACGCTCTCACGCGTACCGCTCCATCCTGGGCCTCCACTGCTGATCAGGAGGAGGAGCAGGAGGAGGAGGCTGTCCATATTCAGGAGGCTGCTGCTGCCCGTACGCCGGCGGCGGCGGATCGTACTGGAGATCGTTCATGCCGTATTGAGGCGCTGCCGAGCGGTTCTGGTTGTTGTTGTTGCTTCCCCACTGCGTCCACGCCGCCGCCATCGAGGGCGACGACTTGGGCGCCGCGCGCCGTCTTGCCCGGCGGCAGCAGCTGATGATGAAGCTCACCACCACGATGATGAGCAGGATGCCGACGACGACGGCGATGGGGATGACAATGTCCTTGTGGCTGGTGATCCAGTCCCGGATCTCCCCGGCCGTGGACGTGCCCTCGCATTCTCCGTTGGAGCAGTGGCCGCCGGAGCCGCAGGGAGTGCCGTCGATGAAGTTCTGGCCAAACAAGAGGCATTGGCGCTGCCCAAAGGCCGAGGCCCCGTTGGAGCAGGAAACAGTGCAGCTGTCTTTGGTGTCCGGGCATGCCGTCGTCGAGCTGTTATCGGCTGAGGTGCCAACGGCCACCTGACACTGCCTGTCGCGCGACGTGCACTGACCCGAAGCGCACTTGAGGCCGTCGCCGCTGCCGCAGTCGTCGCCGTCGGCCTTGTGCTGGTCGTCGGGACACCTGGCTGCATCGCCGGGGCACGTCTCCTGAAGGTCGCACTCGCCGGTGCTGGGACGGCATACCGTCGAAGAGGATGCGAACTGGCACTGGTCGTTGCAGCAGTCTTCGTTGGACGGGTCGCACACGGCATTGCTCTTGAACTTGCAAGTTTTGGCGTCGCAGCACGTGTTGTTCCCGCAGCCCTGGGTGCCGCCGCAGTCGCACTGCTCTCCTTCTTCGACAATGCCGTTGCCGCACTGGCTACCGGTGATGGTGGGCACGTTCTTGTTGTCGGTCAAGCAGCTCGACAGCGCTGCCGCCTTGAGGCTGGAACAAATGTTGCCGACGCTGCAGGCGGAAAACTGGGTGATGCCGGTGCCCGTCGAAGGGTTCATGATGAATCGGCCCCCCGCATCGCAAGTGCTAGAGGAAAGCGGACAGCAAGCCTGTGAGGAGGGGTCAACGGGGCAAGTAGAACTTGTGCAGTCGTGAACGGCTCCGAAGGTGTGTCCCGACTCGTGGGCAAACACCTGCCAATCTGTCGATGTCCGCACAACGACGTTGGCGCCGGCGACGGTCTCGTTGTTGCCTTGGCCGTCCGAGCTCGTTCCCGACCCCTGACGGCAGACCTGGCTCCTCCATGCCAGCCCAACGGCCGCGTCTGTGGGACACGTAGTCAGCAGACTCCAGTAGGCGTTGTTGTCGAGAGACCTGCCGCGCCAGGCGGAGAAGAGGTTGAGTCGATCGCTAATGGTGGTGTTGTCCGAGCAGGGTACGTTCCAGGGAGTGGCGGCGGAGGGGGCACCCGGGCACCCACGGTCGAGGACGGTCAGGTTTCTGATGCCCAGTGAAATCTTGAAGGCGCTCTCGTACACTTGGGAGGCTTGGTTCACCATGCCGATGACTTGCTTCCTAAGTTCTTCGGACGAGTTGAAGCCATTCCAATAGGTACAGTCGGTAGCAATGCCAACCAAGGCCACCTTCTTCGTCGTAGGGCATCCGGCCGTTTGTCCAATGCTCGCAATGAGATCCTGGCCGCTACCCCCTGAGCCTCCGTCGATGGACTGGCGACCAAAGAGACTTCTGGGGTCGATTCCTCGGAGCCCAGTTGATCGCTTGAGCTCCAGGTCAAACTGGTTGTTGAAGTTTAGTGAGTCCGACATGCACTCCGACGGCTTCGAGACGGTGCGCTTAAGTTCTCCACGGTCTAGCGAGCCTCGGACATCAGAATCGCGCCATACAACCATGACTTCATCGTGGTCCTTCTCCGCCCAGTCAGGAGGCAGGGGGTCGTCCTCGTGCTTGGTGGTGATGTACTTGGAGCCGGTGTGGATGTGGTGGTCGTCGCCGTCAATGCGAAAAGAGCCGTCAAACACCGGATGCTTGCCGTCACGGTGCACCGTAATCCTCGCCCAGCCACCCAGGGACCAGCCATCCTCGCCAGGTCGCTCGACGTAGGCATCGCCTCGATAGACCTTGTGATACCCGCGCTCGACCTTCTCTACCGACTTGACCTTTCCTTCTGAGTCGAGATACGTCACCTCCAAGTCGTCGTGGAGGATGTCGTGGTTCGGGTGCAGCGATAGTCGGATCCTGTCCTGTCCCTCATGAAGAGAGAATGTGAGGTCGAAGGCCGAATGCGAGTGAACTCGGCCTGAGGGCGTGTGGATCTTGACATTGTCAATGACAGAGACGTAGTTCAAGGGACTTCTCTTCAACGAATGGGCTAATACAGCCGACGTCAAAGGAATGCACCGTCAGCAAAAAGGGGAACACAGACAGACAATCAGTCACAGGCACAGTCAAAGGGAGGCAAAACAATACCGATCGCGGACTGGGCCAACAAGGCAGTGCTAGCAAAGGCGGCCACAAGAGACCGAAGCGCAACCATCGTTGCGGGGGGCCAGAGAATGTAGGTAAACAAACAGCCCACCTCAGGCGAGTATCAAAGAGGCGGCAGCGTTAATATATGGTAAGGTACTCCGTACTCCGCAGACCAGAAGCACGAGGAGGGGGGAAACAGCTGTATTATTTCACAGATACGGCCATCTGGAACGTGGGCGAGATGGACCTGGACCTGGACCGAGACCGGGCTTGAATCCTCTCTTATTAACTTTAAATTCAAAGAACCCCTCGTTTGGGAGTCAAAAGGCCAAGAAGCGAAGAGAGGGCTTGCGTCCGTCAGCGTGGCGCAGAAGAATCGGAGTTTAGAGACGCAGCGAAGGAAGAATGAGAAGAAGAAAAGCCGAGCAGGCTAAGAGGCGATCCCGGGGAGTGGAGAAGCGGAGAGATCGGGACAGAGAGAGACAAAAAAAAAAAGTGACAAAGCACGAGGACAAGCAAAAAAGGGCGACGCAGGTTGCTTAGAAGAAGAAGAAAGAGAAGAGTCCGAAAGATGGGGAAAAGAGAACCAAGCTGAGGTGCCCGTTGACACTCGGATTCATTTGGTGACGGGTTTCAGTTCCGTCTGTTTAGGTGGACTCGGCAGCTTGGCAGAGCTCTTTTAGGGGGTCCACTAGCTCTGGGAGAGCGCTAGATTGGGGCGCTTTAGTGGACGATGACAGCAGGGCCCGCGCAGATTGGGTCTGAGGTGCCCAGATCTTTTTTGGCTTTGCACGATGCTCGGGAGTTCTTGTTGTTCGCGGTGGCTATGCAACGGGCGTCTGCTGCGAGTGTGGACGCTTGACTCCCATCCAATTCTTTCTCCGTTTCCGTGAAAGATGCACGGCGTCTGGTGTGACTGTCATCCCGGCGCCGACTCCAGTTGGGGCATCACAGGCCTCCCATCCATCTTTCAGCCTCCACTACTAACTACTCAAGCCCTTGTTATGCATGCCTTATTGCCTACCTACTGACGTCCGTACAACAACCCAAAAGTGACCCTGCCTGAAACCCCCCTGCAGGCCATCCGCCGGGCTCGTGTCACTTGCTTTTCTCATCGTCAGGAAAATCCGTCCCAATCCCCATCATCCCCCATCTCACCAACCCCCCCTGCTGACCCAAGAATAGAGAGTGCATGTTAGTAATACCCTTGGCGCCTTGTTTCGTATCGTATGGGTTGTATCGTATCAGACATACATACATCAATTGTCTAGCAGACCGAGACACAAATCCCACACAGGCAAGATGCGATAGCACTCTTATCGATGCCTTCTATCATCTCAGTCAAAATCGATTTACTCTGTGCAGAGCCCCCGATCTCTAGAGGCGTTTTGCGTTGATCTACATAGATACAGTTACATACACTTGAACCACAAGTGACGACTCAACCCCGCCCCATATCGCCCACCAAATAAGAATTCAAGGTTAAACGTGGTAAAATAAACTCATCTCGTCTCAGGTGATAACGTCAGTGCACAAGCAATCTCCCACTCTCAAAAAGAAAAGACAGCTGAGCCACTCTCGGCCAAGAAAGAATAAGAGGAAGCTTCTTTGACCGCCACAAAATCATGACAGCAACGCTAGTAAGAATCAACGCATCGCCAATCCAATCAAACAGGGGATTAAAAGAAAATCTCGAGTTTTGTGAGGAAAAATAACACGAGCTGTACTTGAGATATACATCCATCCAACAACCCGAACGCAAGCTTAAACCACCCCCCGTACAGAGTAACCCTCCATGTCACTCCACAACTGTACTGCATGCACTGCACTGCACTGCACGAAGCAACTCCCAGTAAACCGGCACCTGCATGAAGCTGCCCCTCGGAATCACGTTCCAATATCCCATCTCAAATCCAATCCGGGAAATGCTATCTATCCCAAGCAGGCAAAATAGTAAGATGGGGGACATGCATCTTCTCTCCCAACCCCCGATCCAACCAAACAATGACAACCCAGAAACATGCGCCTCAATGACGACGACTTCCGGTCTTGGCGCAGAGTTCTACATGGTAATCACTCAAGCAACTCAGCCGGACCACTGATTTGGCCCGGATATATCGATGCAAAATGCGCATCTAAAACTTCTCTGCCTACGACGGGATCAAGAAAGGCATCGAATGGGCTCCCCTCCGGAATCATCGGCGCGTGGATCCAAATCCGATCAAGGCTGTGCTCGCATCGCCAAGTCTTGGCTCTCTCTCTCTCCAAACATCAACCTCCACCTCCTCCACCTCCATACCCAAACCGGCGAGTTCAACTCACGCAACATTCAAACGTGCCCAAATCAGCCTCGGTAAGCCACCTCGGCAAAAGCCATGGCGTCGCATTGAAGAAGCTCAACTCCTACCATGTACCGAACCTTATTTGCAAGCTTGACGTCTCACCTTACTACAAGCAGCGAGTATCGCGTACGCGCGTCCTCTCCTCTTGGATTCATCAGCGTGTGGAACTCATCGGCCTTGGCCTCTCTCATAGTCAGCACCCCTTGAGCTGAATCACCATCCTGTCAGCCAACTCATAACACATCACAAGAGCATCTGGATTCAAGTGTCACGTACGGAGTAAAGGGGCCTAATTTGTCGTCTTCGATATCAATTGCTACATGGCACATCATATCTCATCCAAGAAAGAAAGAGGAATCAGCCTCCCCTTCAGAATTACGGTAGTTTTAATCCTCCGACGGACATTTGTTTTCATGGCCGCCATCCTCAACCCTGACCCAATTGTACTGACTGACAAGCTATATGCAAAAAAACCCAAACCTGCTGAACGACTTTAACTTATTTTCCCCTGGTCTCGTGGACGGTGGCAATGATCTTGTCGACGACCGACGGATCCGACAGCTAAACAGAACAGTTAGATGCATGGAGCCTTACAAAAGACAACAAGGCAGAGAAACGTACCGTTGAGACATCACCCAGCTGATCCTCCTCGCCAGCCAGCACCTTTCTCAGAATGCGGCGCATAATCTTGCCACTTCGCGTCTTGGGGAGATCTCCGATGATAAAGACAGCCTTGGGGGCGGCGAAGGGACCGATGCTCTTGCGGACCTGCAGGACGAGCTCCTTGCGCAGCGCATCGCTGGCGTCGTTGCCATCCTTGAGGGCAACGAAGGCGTTGACGGCCTGGCCGGTCAGCTCGTCCGAGACACCAACGACGGCAGCCTCGGCAACGGAGTGGTGCTCGATCAGGGCAGCCTCAATCTCGGCCGTTGACAGACGGTGACCGCTGACGTTGACGACATCGTCAACACGGCCGCGGATCCAGTAGAATCCCTCGTGGTCACGGGCGGCACCATCACCGGTGAACTGCATGTCCATGTTAGGTAAGCGGCCATTTCATTTATTCATACCAGATTTTGCAAGGATGGGGAAGTTTCTTACGTAGTAGCCCTTGTACACATGCAGGTAGGTGTCCAGGTATCGCTTGTGGCTACCGTAGACGGTACGGGCAATGCTTGGCCATGACTGCTTGAAAGCAAGGACGCCCTCGACATTGTTGCCGTGAAGCTCCTCACCCGAGACGGGGTCAATGATGGCGGGCTCAATGCCAAAGAAGGGCAATGAAGCACTGCCAGGCTTCATGGGGGTAATGCCCGCAAGAGGGGTGATGACGTTGGAGCCGGTCTCGGTTTGCCAGTAGGTCTATAACGCCATGTCAGTTTCATTTCAGATGCGAAGAGAGTGGGAGGTAAAACGTACATCGACAACGTGAGCGCTCTCCTTGCCGACGACCTCATAGTACCACTTCCAGACCTCGGCGGCAATAGGCTCACCGACCGAACCGAGTGTTCGCAGGTACTTGAAGTTGCCGCGGACGTGCTCATCACCAGCTCGCTTCAGCAGTCGCAGGGCAGTGGGGGCGACGTAGAACTGGGTGATGTTGTGCTTCTCGATAATGTCCCAGTATCTGGAGAAGTTGGGGTAGGCGGGCGTGCCCTCGAAAACGACTGTGGAGACACCCAGAAGCAGGGGGGAGTAGACGACGTATGTGTGGCCAGTGATCCAGCCGACGTCACCACCGCAGAAGTAACGGTCGCCATCGTGGATATCGAAGACGTACTTGCCGGTCAGGGCGGCGCCAAGCAGATAGCCGGCGGTGGTGTGCATGACACCCTTTGGCTTTCCGGTCGAGCCAGAAGTGTAGAGGAGGAAAAGGGGGTCCTCAGAATTCATGGGCTCAGGGGCAATGTAGCTGGGCCACTTCTCGACCTCTTCGTGCCACCACAGATCACGGCCCGGGACCATGTTGATGTCGGCGCCGGTGCGGCGGTAGACGAGAACGTGGCTGACGTCGGGGCACTGCTTCAGGGCATCATCGACAATCTTCTTGGTGCCGATGAACTTGCCGCCTCGCTTGCCCTCGTCGGAGGTGATGACGAACCTGGACTTGGCATCGAGGACACGGTCCCGGAGGGCATCGGCGGAGAAGCCGGCGAAGACGACGGAGTGGACGGCGCCGATACGGACGCAGGCCAGGATGGCGACGACGGCCTCGGGGATCATGGGCATGTAGATGGCGACGGTGTCACCCTTCTTGATGCCGGCCTGCTTGAGGACCCAAGCGACCTTGGACACGTCGCGGAGAAGCTCGCCGTAGGTGACGTTGCGGCCATCGTTGACCTCGTCGGCCTCGTAGATGATAGCGACGCGGTTGGGGTCCTTGTAAGCATGGCGGTCGACGGCGTTGTAGCAGGCGTTGAGCTGGCCCTCGACGAACCACTTGACGTCGCCGTCAGCGAGGCTGCCGGCAGAGACGGTCTCAAAGTCGCGGGTCCAGGTCAGCAGCTCGCGGGCTGTGCGGCCCCAGAACTTGTTGGGCTCGGTGATGGACTCCTTGTAGAGCTTCTGGTACTCCTCGAGGTCTGCAGTTTAAGCGCGCAGTCAGTAATCATCATTTCGACATTCCAAATTGCGTGACCGCGACAAGCTGCAGCAGCGCCGACCGGACAGGCGGAAATAACGCGCCGTTGGGTTGACGCCATTCCGGGCGTCCGGGTGCCCCCGCGAAACGTGCGCCGAGACCGGTGCTGAGACGGCGCAGCTGCTTTGGGCGCGCTGAAGAAAACTGGACGGCTCGACTTACTGGCAATGTGGGGTCTGCTGGGGTGCTCTGTCGAATGGGCGAAGAAGAGAAAAAGATGTCAGCTGGATCTTATCCAAGAAGCGGCTAAAACGGGTAGGGGGGGTTTCTCTGCGTTCGGAGATTTCGAGGAGGCCCTGCTAGCGGGCGGGCACAACGTACTTGCGAACATCTTCTCAGGAGGCTCTGTTGGACGCGAACGGGTTAGCATCGGCTGCGCGGAATCGAGCAATTGGGTGTCCTTACGGAAGGTCTCGACCTCGTGGGCCTCCAAAACCACAGGTTGGTCGGCCATGGCTGCGCGTGTTGGTGAGGTTGTGATTGTGTGCGAAAGAAGCGAGTAGAAGCGGTTTGGAGGGGCAGAGCCGAAGGATGCGCTCAAGACAGCGGCGGAGTGCGGGGTAGGTCTCGCAGCAGAGCTTGCAGAGCTATCGAGGGCAGGTGCTACGTTGCGGTGGACAGGCTTTTCCCCCAACAAAGACACCAGGCGAAGCTGTCGCGATGCGATGCGGCGCCTCAGGATAGCAGCGGCAGCAGTCGCTCAAGGCAGTCGAGCTCGAGTCTCGAAGAATGGAGGTGCAGCTGGTGGTCGATCCAGGCCAAGGCAGGACAGACAGACAGACGCTCGTTGATCCTCGAGTGTCTGGCTTCTTGAATAGAGCGAGATTGGAAGAAGCGGCAAGCAGAAGAAAGAGATGAGGTGAAGGGCGGCCAGACGAGCGGAGGGGGGCCCTGATGCCTTTATAAGATCAAACGGTGGAGGCGACCCTTCTGCCAGACAAGGGGAGCGAGATGGGCTTGAGTGCCCTCCGGGGATAGCTCTGCTGCTAAAGAAGCGATGTCAAGCTACCCTTATGGAGCAGTAGCGATACCACCACCACCAGCACGTCTTTGCAAGAGTGGATCGTGATGACGGGAATGCTGGTGCCGGGCCTCGTCTCGCAAGCTGGTACTCCGTAGGGCCAGTACACATGGCCGGGTTGCTGTAAGGTAGTACTGCCAGGTAGTAAGGTAGTAGGGATCAAATGGTAGGGATGGGGCGGCTTGCTCAACAAGCTTCGAGATGGGACGTGAGGCCGGCCGTTTGCATGGCAGAAAGGAGGCGTCTCTGTCCTCGTCTCTCAGCTTCGCTCCCCCGGACCGTCTTGACGCCATCCTCATCATCATCAGCCGTCACCCTCACCATCGCCACCGGCCTACCGCCGCTTCTCCTCACTCCCCGACTTTCCCCAGGCTTCTCAGCAGATCCCCCCAGAATCCAGAATTCCCTAGCGGCTTGTCCTGCCCTCCCTCCTGCTCTCCCCGTATGCGCCGTTTGGGGAAAACCATCACAAGCCCGCGCCACGCCTCTCCTTGCTGCAACGGGTCAAGCACCAGAGCTCAAGGGAAGCACCTTTTCCCTCGCGGTTCGCCCTACCAGCGGCGCTGCTCCCGATGGGCCGGGTGGGGTAGCAAGTGCTCCGTTGCCCCGAGACGCGCCAGAAAATCCCAATCTTGAAGCAGCGTCGGTACTCGTATCTCACGCCCCACGAGTCATATGGAACCCAGCTTCACCGTTGGGACGCTTGGTTCTTTGGTGTTTTCCCTCTTTGTCTCGTGTGTCTTGCCAATTTCCCATGTTGCCGGAGCCGCACCCGCACCCCGCTGGACAAGGCAAGCAAACATCCAATGGCGCCCGTCGCCCGAAGGGCCCGCGATGCACCGAGACAATCAAGACGCTCAACATCCTCGGGACTCTGGCTCGTCTTTCCGGTCGTTCTCGTGCTTTAGGCTCAAGTTTCATCCGCATCTTCCTCGGTATTATGGCCGCCACTATACACACAAAAAGAGAAGAGATTCCAGCGCAGGAGAATCTGCAGCTCCGTCAAGACGCAAACCCTCTATCGGGGCGTGGAGCCTCTGTGAAGTTGCCTGCGCTCGATGCAACCCATGCACCGTGGAGCTGCATGAATCCCTGACAGGATACAAAGGGTACATGCCAAGTTCGTAGTAAGCGATGCCCCCCATCTAACACCAATCTGAAGCTAGGTATGGATTCATAACGAGTGTGTGCTTTGTGCGAACCATTCCGTGCTGCTGGCCGGGGGTTGATCTTTCTCGTCATTTTAATCAAAAGACTTGCGGCCCTGCATCCCGGCTCTGGAAATGGATACAGCACTCCACCTCCTCGCCGTGTTGCTTGGCCGTTGACTCCTGTCCTTGCTGCCACGTACCGAGTTATCCGTTCGTTGAAGCACTGGAAAGGAGGGAAGCTGGATATGGATGACACAGAGAGAGATGCGAATTGCCTATCAACGCCGTTATTATAAGTATACCTCGTCAGAAGCCCTCATGGCCCAATTGCAAGTCGGCAAATAGGGGAACGGGCTGCTGTTGCGCTGTTGGCCCAGACATCCTGCCTAAGGTACCTTACCTTACTTACTTCTTGATGCTACTCTGCTTTCAGGAACTTTGCCGTCGGCCATGCGGTCTGCCCCTCTTTTAGCCTCTCAGGCCTCTTCTAACCCTCCACTTCCGTCCATCCAGTTCTCTCAAGGTTGCAGCGAACCGTTACCCTACAGAATCTTAGAGTGGTAAGAAAGGGCCGCCGCCATGCCCCCAACGTAGCCTTTTCGTACATAATAACCCAACCAACCGACTGGTACGAGCTAAGCTATGCGTTATTAAATCGATATTTTGCCTACGGGGTAGCATTCAATTTGATTACGAGACATTGAGTCTGAAACTCTTGAGAGACTGTTTACCCTCTTTGCAGTATGTGGAGAGAGGGTCGGCGATATAATGCCCGACTGCCCGTACTAGTATATATCACCTGCAGCCTGGCAGAGGCTACCGGTTGAATATCAATAGATAGATCGACAACAGACTCTATCTAGTAGATTAGACTAGGTATCTCATATCCTTGCCCCCGTGGTTTGAAGCCATGGATGGGTGAATCTGGTGTATCTCATCAATGAACCGGAAAAGAAGTGAGCACAAGCCCGCACTGCCTTACCTCCATGTTACTCCGTCCATTTGGGGCAGCACGGCATGCGTACACGAATTATTTCTTTGGTACAACCAATTACTTCAGCCGTGCCGGAATGGTTTCTCGTAACGGAAACCACTCGTTGCGACCTCATGTTGGTCTGTTCCAACTCATGTCAAGTTACATTGCCCCTTTCACCGAAAGACGCTGCGAGTTCTCTGTATCAATGCAACCCCTACTAGTAGTACGCGCGATATATTAAGGCACCTTGAGTATGCGACCTACCTACCTAGGAATCGATTCGTCTTGGGTGTTATTCCAAGAGCCATAGGTCTGTATATTCGCCCATTAGTAGACTGAGATATCATGCTTCACCTACTACCAAAGGCCAGCCGAGTAGCGATTAGTGCCCGGCGCCGGCCACGCCGCTCACCACGGCTCACTTCACACATGCGCAGCTCGAAAGCAATGAACCAGCAAACTGCATAGAAGTTTCCCTTGACATTGACATTGACATTTTTCTCTTCAATACTCCAGACGCCGCCGTGACCAGTCGCTAGAATTACATGTCCATGCTCATCAGGTACATCTCCAAGACGCGCATAAACTTCGCCACAAATGCTTCCAGGTGAAAGATGACCTTGGTGCCCGTCTTGATCCGGTGCTCGTAAAAGGCAGACCACTTTATGACTTCTGCCTTGAGCCCGTCGTCAATGTGATTTAGCAGCTTGAATGTGAGCGTCTTGATAATCGTCGTCGGCGGGATGCAATGCGTCAACAGATCGTACAGCTTGGCGCGCACCTGCAGGATCCGCGCGGGCGTGTGCTCCTCCACGATCTCCTTGGCGATCTGGCTAATCAGTGCTTCCCAGTCCGCGGGCGGGATCGGCGTGCTGTCTGTTACTTTCTCACTGCGGGCACAAGGTTCGTTAGCAACGGGGTGATGGAACAATCGACTGGCTCGATGGGCACTTACTTTTGCGCGTGAACAGCCTCGAGCATCAATAGGGCACGGCGCAAATTCCTCCCGCTCTCCTCAGCTATCCGCTGGTGAAGCCCCTGGGGAACTTCCCAGTTCTCCCTCTTTGCCGACTGCGCGAGGACGTCGCAGATCTCGGCATGCGTGGGAGCGGCCACTCTGACGAGCAGTGTTCTCGATCGAATCGGCGCAATGATATTGGCCGTCGAATTCGCCAAGAGAATCAGACGCAAGTTCGGTGAGTACTTTTCCATGGTGCGGCGAAGGGCCGCCTGGGCATCTCTGGTCAGGTGGTCGGCCTCGTTGATGACCACTACCTTGAATCGCTGCTTCGCCGACTGGTCCACCTGCTGTGTCTGCGCCACCTCTTTCAACAGGTCCTGCACGACGACTCGATCGTACTGCCCTACGTCGGACGGCGTGATCTCCATGTGATAGTTGGAGGCGACAATGTTGAACTCGAGCTTTCGGTTGCTCGACGTCTGGAAGACTCGGGCGTCGATCTTGATCTTCTCCACGCCGGGGCCGTACAGCTCCTTCAGCGTTGCCACTATTCTTGTTTTCTTGCCGGCCCCTGAGGGACCGAAGACGAGGAGGTGCGGGAAGTCACCGCTCTGGGCCTGTGACGGGAGGGTGTTAGCTGCTGCAGCATGGTGCGGATTGGAGGTCAAGAGTCGCATCGTACGAGGGATTGGAGCCTTTCCGACAGCTCAGAGTGATACGACAGAGCCTCGAGGGACCTCGGGCGATGCTTGTCGACGATAAGGGCCATTGCGACGACGGATGAATTGGTGTGGTGGTTGAACTGAAAGCTCCAGGATTTTGGACGTTGGAAGACGCGTCGTCGCGTAAAGTGCTGTACAATGAACAGGTCGAGAGTGGGGTAGATTTTGGTGCCTGTTGCTGTTCCCTGCAGCCGTGAAAATCCGGGATCACGGCTTGTCAGTCTACTGCTTCTAAAATGCGCATGTATGCTCATACTTCTGAGCATTAAAATTTTCTCTTGTGGTTTTCTTTGTTTCTTCATCTGAAGATTGTTGTCTTTTGCATATCATATGCATGGTTTCGAATCGCAGTGCCGATAACTCTTAGGGGAGAGTATCGCACATGCTTGTAGTTTCGTTAAATGCAGTGGTTCTTAATTTTCATCAGGTGGCTTTTACTTTATATACAGAAATCTTATGTTACATGGCGTTCCCCTTGCAGCTCATGAAGATCCGGACGGCGCAGATGCACTTTCAGCTGCAGCCCCCGTCGTAGATGACGCTGCCTCAACAAGCTCTTGAGGGGCCAGCTGCCTTCTTGGCCTCTTGAGGTCCTCCAACGTGACACCGTCCAGCTTCGTGATCCCAACAACGGGAGGGTCCCCCTTCTTCACAAACTCCCACTGACCTAGAGCTCAGTTAGCAGCGGGCACAGAAAGGAAAGATGACAGGAATCCGTACCAGGCAGCTTGTTGCCAGCCAACCGGAAAGCGTCTCGAACAATCTGCTCGTGGATTCGGCCCTTGATCTCGAACAGGACCTGACTGACGGCCATTCTCGTAGCCCAGTGGTCAAAAGAACCCTTTCCTTTACCCATTCGCATCTGTCTTAACATTTAGCTTGCCATTGCCTTCTCAAACAGCCCAGTACCTTATGTAGCACTCCGCACCTCGTTACCGCTGACGTAGACGCCAACGTTGCAGTTCTTCCTCTTGTACAGTCGGTATTTCTCTCCTCGAAGTCGCACTTTGATCGTATCCTCGGCCATCTTGAGCGACTTGGCGCTGATTCGTCGGTGGTGGTCCTTCATTCGCAGTCCGTAGTCGCCCCAGATCACCGTTGTGCCCTTGGTCGATCCTCCCGTCGCTACTCGCGGCCGTCCCTTGGCCATCTTCTTTTTCCGGTTCAGACTGGGCTCCAGCCATGTGCCCATCATGGCCGGGCTCGTGGAAAAGGCTCTGCCATTCTGGAGGAGTTGAGCGGCGCCCAGGACCTTGGACGGGCGCTGAGCCGGGGCTCTCAGCTGTCGCAACGGGGTGCAGGCGGAGATTCTCAGCCCCTGGAAGGCACTCAGCAGTGCGGAAGTGCCATTGGGCCTCATGGCGTCGGTTTGGCGGCTTGTCGAGGCCTGTCTGTCGAAGTCGCACGACTGCTGCGATATCTTGAAAAGAATCCCACCATGCATGGCGTCGGCGCAAGGTGGGGCCTGAGATCTCAGGCCCCGAGCGACGCTTGCTTACCTCAGCACTCGGCTCGACAGCAATTAAGCCCAGGTCACGCACCTCGCGTCAGCTTCGCGTTGTGCTTGCTGCAGGTGGGATCATCTTGGTGCACGTCACTGAACGGCTTCCAGGCTGCATCTTCGTTTTTGCACGCCAGACCCGCGATTGCTCAGGCAGCAGCTCTGAATTGCGGCGACAGGGGGCTTCGAAGAGAGATTTAAGCAGATTCTTCTATTTGCTTTTTCTTTTGATCTTATATCCTTTCAACATCTACCTTCATCTAGCCGAAGACAGCGATACAATGCCGGATATTCGATCATTCTTCACGCCAAAGGGCGGTGCACCCCCAAAGCCTGCGGCTGCAAAGCCAGAACCGCCGGCCAAAGCCAAGCGAGGCAGTGAGTGTTTTTAGGACTTCTCGTACTCAATTGATGCTTACTAGTGTATAGAAGGGCGAAAGGTCATCGAAGATAGCGACGATGACGAAGTGGTAGAGTAAGGACCTGCCACACCCCTGCTTCCTGTTACTGCTTGGTTCACGTCCCGCCTCTAACCCGTGCTGCAGAGTAAAGAAGCCCGCACCGAAACCACCAGCAAAGAAAAGGTACTCACAAACTGCGCAATATGCATTGGCTCCCTCTCATGGATTGTTTTAACCCCTATGTTAGGGAGACGGAACCAAAAGGCGTGGCCATATCTGCCGACGACTATTTCGCCTCTTCAAAAGATTCTAAAGCTGCCAAAGCATCCCAAACTCCCAAAAAAGGCGACAAGAAAGCCATCATAGAGGCTGAAGTCCCCGTCAGGCCCAGCCCCCGGGCCAAGAAGACCGCGGCAAAGCCGGCTGCACCAGAGGATGACGATGAGGATGTAGCTCCTCGATCCAAGAGGGCTAGAACATCCTACGGGGCCGCCCCTGTTGACGACGATGACGACGATGACGTTTATATGGACGACGGTGATGAGGATGCGGACGATATCTTCGCCGCTGACGCCAAAGGCCGAAATAAGCGCAAAAACGATGACTACGAGGAAGAAGAGTCCGAAGACAAGGTCATTCCGCAACCCAAACGACTTGCCTCGCGGGGACGGCCCGCCGCTTCTGGAAAGAAAGCTGAAGAGAAAGTGAAGACCACACCGGCCGGCAAGAAGAGGAAGTCGCCTGAGCAGGAATCCGACGAAGAAGAGGAAGAGCTGCCTAGGAAGAAACCTGCAGCAGCAAGCAAACCACGCGCGCCAAGAGCCAAGAAAGCAGACCAACCCGAGGACGAAGCCATCCAGAACATTCTCGATAGCGTGGCTACTGTACGAGCGCCCACACCTCCGCCCAAGGATGGCAAAGCAGGCTTTGACTGGAGAAAATCTGCCGCGGGTGGTGGCAACGCCTCGGTGCAACCCTCACAGCCAACTGGCGAACTTCCAGAGGGCGAGGAAGAGTGTCTCAGCGGATTGACCTTCGTTTTCACCGGCGTGCTGCAAACCATCGGTCGCGATGAAGCCCAGGCCTTAGTCAAGCGATATGGCGGCAAAGTGACGGGTCAGCCGAGTAGTAAAACAAGTTTCGTCGTGCTCGGAGACGATGCTGGACCGTCCAAGCTGGCCAAAATCAAGGCGAACGGCATCAAGACCATTGATGAGCATGGCCTCTTTGACTTGATTCGCAAGCTCCCAGCATTTGGCGGGACGGGTAAGGGCGCTCAGAAGGCACAAGAGAAGAAGAAGGCGGAGGAAGAGAAGGTGAAGCAGCAGGTTGCTGAGATGGAGGCGGAAGAGAAAGCAAAGAGGCGAGAGGCAGAGAAAGAAGCCAAGAGGTTGGCTGCATCCCGAGGGCAATCCAGCAGTGCACCTATCCAGCCTACAGCCGCACCTACGATGCTTCTCACTTCCAAGTATGCGCCAACACAGCTGAATCACATATGTGGAAACAAGGCACAGGTGGAAAAGATTCAGAAATGGCTTCATAACTGGCCAAAGTCGAAAAAGTACAACTTTCAGAAACGTGGCGCTGATGGCATGGGAGGTGAGCGAGCCATCATCATATCTGGACCCCCCGGCATTGGCAAAACCACAGCGGCGCACTTGGCAGCCAAACTCGAAGGTTACGATGTCCTGGAAAGTAATGCAAGTGATACACGAAGCAAGAAGTTGGTTGAGGCCGGTCTCAGCGACGTTATGAACAACACCTCCCTGCTGGGATTCTTTTCAGGAGACGGGAAGTCTGTGGACTCCACCAAGAAGAAGATTGTGCTCATCATGGACGAAGTCGATGGTATGTCGGCTGGCGATCGCGGAGGAGTTGGCGCCCTGGCCAAGTTCTGCAGGAAGACGGAGGTGCCATTGATCCTGATTTGCAACGAGCGAAGACTACCCAAGATGAAGCCATTCGACCACGTTGCGTTTGATATAAGATTCAACCGTCCAACAGTCGACCAAGTCCGCTCTCGCATCATGACGATCTGCCATCGAGAGGGCTTGAAGATGCCTCCGCCAGTTGTTGATGCCCTCATTGAGGGCAGCAATAAGGATATCCGCCAAATCATTAACATGATCTCGACAGCGAAGCTTGATCAGGCAACCATGAACTTTGACCAAACCAAGGCCATGTCAAAAGCGTGGGAGAAGCATGTTGTGCTCAAACCATGGGATATTTGCCAGAAGATGCTTGGTGGCGGGCTCTTTGCGCCTGCAAGCAAAGCGACGCTCAATGATAAGATTGAACTTTACTTCAATGATCACGAATTCAGCTACCTCATGATCCAGGAGAACTACCTCCAGACGAGGCCCATGGCTCTCAGTGGCTCGGGATATACTGGTCGGGAAGCTACTTTGAAAGCTCTCGAGCTCTTTGACCAGGCGGCAGAGAGCATTAGCGACGGCGACCTTGTGGACCGCATGATTCACGGACCGCAGCAGCACTGGAGCCTGATGCCTACACATGCTGTCTTCAGTACCGTAAGGCCTGCCAGCTTCGTTGCCGGCCAGTTGCTGGGATCCAACTTTACTTCTTGGCTCGGAAATAACAGCAAAGCTGGAAAATTGGGCCGATACATTCGAGAAATCCACTCCCATATGAGGCTCAAGTCATCTGGAGACCATAACGAGATTCGACAGGAGTACTTGCCTCTGCTATGGTTGCAGACGGTGGATCGGCTGCAGAGAGAAGGGAATGAAGCTGTGGAAGAAGTCATCGACTTGATGGACAGCTACTACCTCACCCGAGAAGACTTTGACGCCATTCAAGAGCTGGGACTCGGTCCCATGGATGAGGAGCGTGTCAAGATTGAGACCAAAACGAAGGCTGCATTCACTCGAACGTGAGTAACTTTGCATTTCCCGTGACTTTTCTTCCTTCCACCAGACCGTACTAACTGAGAACAGATACAATTCCATGAATCACCCACTGCCTTTCATGAAGGCCAGCAATGTGTTCGCGCCGAAGAAACAAACGAAAGAGATACCCGACTTGGAAGAAGCCATTGAGGAGGAAGACGACGCCGAGGTGCTGGACGCACCGGATGTTGACGAGGACGACGAAATCGATCTAAAGAAGGACAAGTATATCAAACAACCAAAGGTCAAGAAGGCAGCGAAGAAGACGTCAAAGACCAGCACCGCAGATGATGACGACACTACGGACTCGAAACCAAAAGGCCGAGCCAAGGCCAAGGCACCAAGCGCGAAGGGAAAGGCAAAGAACTAAAACACCGCTGGAATGAACTGTTGCGCAACACACTCGAGCTTATGATCTGGCATGGATAGTGGCAGGATCCTCAAGGTTGGAGTGTTATTGGTGTTAACAGGCGGCTGTCAAACATGTAAAAAGGAAGAAGGAAAAGCCAGGAACTGGCGCGATACAGCTTGCTTATGACTGCAACATCGAGGCTCACGACTACTAACCTTACCACGGGTGACTAATGGGCGAATTCTTGTTTTGGAGAGTGAACGCCGTAGATATTATTCTCGCGAGACAAAATCACATAGAATAGTTATGTGCATATTCTTGTGAGGATGATGGAATGTACATCGACACCCTTGGAGGCGGTTGATTTCAAAAGAGCGGCGTCCTATGCATGCCGCTCGGAGGACGTAAAGTGGTATGTACATGTATGTGTATATCTCATACAAGAAGAACTCTTTGGTCTTCATCTTTCACACTCGTGTGTCCAACTTTCCGTGTTGCCTTGCCCTTCCACCCCGCTCCCTCAAGGTCTCCCGTACCACTATGAAACCATATTTTTTCTTTTCAAAACCGTTGTCATGAGGGGAGCATTATACACTTTTTGTGACCAAACGCCAAGCCATCATCAAATCCCGTAGTAGTACATGTAAAGAGGTGTGTTTGTATGATTATGTCGGACCATTGTATCCACTCATCTTTTGGTATAGTAGTGTTTTTTTTCCCCTTCATCTTTTCATTTAGATCATCTTGGTTTTCTTTCTCGATTGTTGTAAGAGCATGGAGTTGAGAAGAAATAGAAAGAAAGGGAAAAGCCCTTAGGAGTTCTTCACAACGCCAACCTTGGCGGCACGCAAAACACGGCCATTGAGCTTGAACCCCTTCTGCTGCACGAAGAAGACGGTGTTGTCCTCCTTGCCGGGCTGCGGCGCCATGAAGGTGGCCTCGTGCTCGTTGGGGTCGAACTTGGCGCCCTCGGGCTCGAGGCGCTCGAGGCCGTGCTTGGCGAGCGTCTGGATGAGGATGCCCTCGGTCATCTTGAGGCCCTCGTAGAGGTTGGCCAGCTCCTTGAGGTCCTCGCTCTTCTCCTCGGCCTTGAGCTTGTCGGCGGGCACGGTGGAGAGGGCGCGGTCGAGGTTGTCGACGCTGTCGACGAGGTCCTTTGCGAACTTTTGAATGGCGAAGTCGCGGGCGGCCTTGACCTCGCGGGCGGTGCGCTCCTGGAGGTTGCGGAAGTCGGCGACGGTGCGGAGGCATTTGTCCTGTCGAAGATGAAATTAGCAACAATCTCTACAGATATGGAGTGTGAGCTAAGAAAAAACAAACCTTCCAGTCACGGGCCTCCTTGTCCTTGGCCTCGAGATCCTTCTTCAGCTGAGCAACGGCATCGGGCTCGCCGTTCTTGTCTCCCTCTGAGGACGACTCAGTCTTTTCTTCAGTTTTCTGGTCGGCCGCAGGGGCCTCCTTGGTCTCTGTAGCCTCCTTGTTCTCGCTGTACCACCGGCTGGCGATGGGCTGGAAGGATCTTATTGAGATGGCGGGGGCGGCATTCTGAATTTGAGGCCGCAGAAAAGCGCGGCTGGCAGCGATGGTCGGCGTTGAGCGCAGGGCCCTGGAGGAGGTGGCGAGGGCTTGTCGAAGCATGATGGGTAGGATGATGAGAGGAACGAGGCTGTTCGAGATGTGAGGATGGCAGCCAATTGGGCGACGCTATGGGTGTGGTAAAGGGGGGAAAAGAAAAGGCTGGTCGTGGGTGATGCTGTCGCTGGAGCTTGACTTGTGTATGTAAGAGGGGACCATGAAAATTGATTCCGTCCATCAACTTCTCCGGCCTGCGCCGGTTCAGCCCACCAACAACAGCCGGGCGGATCATTGACGGTCCGTGTGGCGGCACCGGAGCTTGGGATGAGCACCAGTACAGGCTACTCATGACGCAGGCAAGATGCTGGCTGCTGACAAAGTATCGGTACTTGTGGGCCTTGAACTGCTGGGCTACGTCGCGCTGTGGCTACCTGGAGGGACAAGGTGAAGCTCCGGTTGTCCAACTCGATCCTCTCCAGCTTCAACACCATCCACCCAGCAATATCGACCCTCGACGCCGCACGCGAGCATCTTTGATTCGACCATCAAAGCGACAAGAAGCAACAACCGCCGTCACCGTCAACCCCCTCCAAACTTCGCCCAAGAAGCTTCTCGAACCCCCTCCTCCTCCATCATGGCCGCCGGCGACTCGAGCCGGGTCAAAGAAGCCCAAGAACTCGTCAAGACGGACCCGAGAAAGGCAGAGGCTGCGTTCAAGGAAATCATATCAAAGGCCCCCACGGCCACCTCAGACGCGGCCACGCGCGAGTACGAGGCTGCTCTGATAAGCTTGGGGGAACTCTATCGCGATGAGAAGTCAGCTTTTCGCCCATGCATGGCCACGGCTGTCCGTTGCATCTGCTGAGCTAACACACTCTGCAACAGGAAGACTCAAGAGCTCGTCACCTTGGTGCAAGAGAGCCGGACGGTATTCTCAACCTTTGCCAAGGCCAAATCCGCCAAGCTGGGTATGTTCTCACTAAAAAAACCAACGATTGCTGATCGCTGACTGACGCCTTTTGTGCAATCTCCAGTCCGCCAGCTTCTGGACCTCTTCAAAGACATCCCCAACAGCACCGACGTCGAAGTTGCCGTTACCAAGGACTGCATAGAATGGGCCACCTCAGAGCGCCGTGCCTTCCAGCGCCAGGACCTCCAGGTCCGCCTCGTCACCCTCTACATGTCCAAACAGACCTACTACGACGCCCTGACGCTCATCAATGGCCTCCTCCGCGAGCTCAAGCGCCTCGACGACAAACTCCGCCTCGTCGAGGTCCAGCTCCTCGAATCTCGAGTCTACCACGCCCTGGGCAACATTGCCAAGGCTCGTGCCGCCCTGACGAGCGCCAGGACAAGCGCTGCCAGCGTCTACACCCCGCCGCTGCTGCAGGCCAACCTCGACATGCAGAGCGGGATGCTGCATGCTGAAGATAAGGACTTCAACACGGCATTCTCGTACTTTATCGAGGCGTTGGACGGATACCACACCCAGGAAGAGTCTGCCAAGGCCCAGGCTGCGCTGCAGTATATGCTCCTCTGCAAGATCATGCTGAATCTGGTCGACGACGTCAACCAGCTCATGGCCTCCAAGCAGGCCGTCAAGTACGCCGGAAAGAACCTCGAGGCCATGAAGGCCATTGCGCGCGCCCACGCCAACCGATCCCTGGAGGAGTACGAGAGGGCCCTGTCGGCCTACCGGTACGAGCTCGGCAGCGACACCTTTATCCGCAACCACCTGCGCCGGCTCTACGACGCCCTGCTGGAGCAGAACCTCATCAAGGTCATTGAGCCCTTCTCGCGGGTGGAGATTGACCACATCGCCAAGATGGTGGGTCTTGACACGCAGCAGGTCGAGAGGAAACTGTCGCAGATGATCCTCGACAAGGTCATTATCGGCGTCTTGGACCAGGGCGCTGGCTGTTTGATCATCTACGACGAGACACAGCGGGACGAGTCGTATGACGCTGCTCTGGCGACGATTGAGAAGCTGAGTAACGTGGTGGATGTGCTGTACACGAACCAGGCCTCTTTGCTGGAGTAAGAAAAAAAAAAAAATACACGAACGGAGGGAGCACCGGGGGGTTGGGCATGATGGCTTCTTATTGTAATATGTTAAGTCTCGTTAGATGAGGCGCTCGATTATTCAGAAAAAAGAAATCGTCGTCCTACTAAAGCAACGCATCGTACGCTTGGTTTCAAGAAAAGGTCCTTTCATGTTTGCGACCTGGAATATATCCTTGCTTCATTCCCTCATAAGAACTCATCCTCTTTGTAGAGAGAGGTTACAGAAAATGCCAATCCGTAGGTACATACAAGAAAACCGGCTCCGGTAATACATCCAAGTAGACCCCCCCTTTTCCCTGAACCAGGACCAAGAGCGAACAAATTCCAAACCTACGCAAGTGGTATCTTTGTTTTTGGTCCCCCCTACAGTGTGTTGTGTGGTAATCAGAGCAGAAGCCAAGCAACCAAAGCAAAAGAAGATACCCTGAGCCACAAAACCAAAGCCAACCGAACCATAAAACCAGTAAATAGACAAAAGCAAACCGAAAAGCCCCTTCCCTCCCCCTTTTTTTTGTCCAACGCCAACTCATGCAATAGTTAGATAAGGGCAGTGTGTGGTTGTTTCGAAAGAAATCCTGACTTCTCCAAACACCGATGAAATGCTATGTCAAAAAGCAGTAGTTCGTACACTTCGTACAAGGAAAAAAACCTTCTCCTGCCATCACAACCAAACAATCGTAAAACAAGAAACAGCAAGAAAAGTGGGCGTTAGAAATGGTCGGCAGTCTCAGTCAGTCAATGAAACATGACGCCAGGAGACTGCCCCAGCGAACTCCTTCTCCGCTGGGCCTCTCCCAGAATCAGCGCAAACAGCCTCTTGGCCAGCTCCCCTTCGTCCCAGCCCTTGATCTGGGACTTGAACGCGTCGACGCACTCGAGGTGCCACTTCTCCAGCACCAGGGACTCGCCCATGCTAGTGACGACCTTGCCCAGGTACCTCTGCGACACGGGAGGGTACCTTTCGCTAAAGGGCCGCTGCCGCCGCATCTGCAGGAGCGTGTCGAGGAAGATCCAGTGCTGACGGGTCCAGACCGTCTGGGAGGGGGGTTCTCGTCTGCGATGCTTCCTGACCGGTGGTTTCTTCGTCACGCCTGCGGGCTTGATGATTCTTGGGGCGAGCGCCGGGAGGGGGTTTTGTTTCTGTTGCTGCGGCTGCGGCTTGGGTATGCTGCCCTTACCTGCCCGCGGCTGGACATGGTTCGGCACCGCAGCGGCGGTGCTGATATTGTCCCGGAACACCTCACCATTTGCCCGGAGGCGCTGTTCGCGGAGCCGAGCTTGCTCCTCGGGTGACAGCACGCTGCCCGTAAACTCAACCACTCGTCCTGGCGTGTGAGGCTTCAGGGGAGAGCGGAGATTTGACTTCTTCGGTGAGGCATGCCTTGGCGGCAGAGGCCTTAGTAGAGGCTTCAAGCTGGGCGAGTCATCAACAACATTGGACGTTTCGAGCTGCCATCTCTGAATGTCTTCATGAGTCAACTGCATCCTCGTCGGACTCGTACTCAACTGAGATGACGAGGTCTGAAAGAAAGAGGAGTCGTTAGCCTGTCGCGGCCGTGGGGCAAAGTTCTGCTTCTGAGCAATTGTGAGAAGACCGCGTCTCTCAGGGGTAGCGGGAGATGAGGCACCTTCATCTACTTGCTCATCCTCCGGTGGATCGGATGGGATAGACGAAGATGGAGGAGCTGTGCGATCAAGCTTTCCCGTGAGTCTGGGAAACAATGACGTCGTGGGTATTGTGGAAGGCTCCTCTTGTTGGACTGCTGCTTGCTGGTTGATCCGCTCAGCAGAGGCCTTCGGTTTGATGGATTTGAACTTTCCGGCCAGCAATCCTGGAATCGTAGCCGGCGAAGAGAAAAAAGACGACAGGTCAAATCGCTTGGATTTGGACGCAGTCGCCGGCGCGTGCTCGGCCTGCTCTTGAGACAACAGAGGAGGCTCCTCATCCTCAGCGTCCATGTCAGACTGCCCCTCATCGACCGTCTGCTTGGTGCGTGACGTATTTGGCAGAGCACTCGAAGTAACGGCCGTAGGTACCTTTTGTGCGTCCCTCCAGGAGCTTGTGAGGCTCGGGCCAGTGTTGCGATCTTGTGTCAAAGGCATCAGCGGCTGCTGTAATACTGGGCGAGGCGGTACTTCCCGCTGTGCTTCGTATTCCCAAAGATCAATGTCATCGTCATCGTCGTCATCTTCGTCATCTTCCTCCTCTTCGTTGTGTTCTTCCTGCTGCTTCCCCTGCTGTTGCTTCCGTTGCTCCTGATGCCCCTGATGCTCCTCCTCTCCTTGAGCTTGCTCTTCATCTTGAACTTGACCTCGGTCATCATCATCCTCCTCCTCAGCCCTGTCTGGCTCTTCTCCAGCACCATCAACCTGGACGAGGGGAAGAGGTTGGTGACTGCTCCCAATACCCGAGAAGCGCGATGGTTGTGTTAATGGGTTATTGCCTCTAAAACCAGAGTTTATGGGACGCTCCGTTGCGAACAGATTCGTGGTACCGCCACTCGGTGGCGTGTTGCCCAGAGAGCTGGCTACTGACTCTCTCGATGGAGGCCGTTTCCTGTTCAGGGCCTCTCTTGCACTCGCATCAAGTGTCGGACGTGCACTACCGAGTATCGGACGCGCGCTACTGAAACCCGTACCGAAAAGCCCGGATCTAGCATTTCTCCTCTGGTCCGCAGTCACGCCGTTAGCAGTCGACTGGTCACGGCCAAAGCGGAACGCCTGCGGTGGACTTTTGCTCGGAGGCGGCTGGCTGCCTTCTGTGGCGCTGTGGGACGGCTCTTTGCTTGCAGAGCTCCTGAACGGACTCCTCAGCTGCTTTTCTCGTTCCCTTGGCGAGGGAGGGTCAGAAGTGACGGTTTGCAGAACTCGGCCAGCTCGCATGATGGAGGAAAGGACTGGTCGTAGGATCGGGTACTGCACGTGGTCCTGAGGAGGGACAGATTGAGGATCCTGAAGTGGCGATGACATCTGATGAGGTGGTGTGGCCTCGACTGGCTGCACCTCACGCTCAGGTGTAGGCTCCAACTGTTCAGGTTGTTGTTGGTAATCAGAGCGCATTTCTCTGTCGACATGGTTCTCCTTGTTCTCGGGCTGGCGGAGAGCAGGAAAATTTGTTCTCCAACGACTTGAAGCTTCGTAGGGATGGATCTTGCGTTCCTCACGCTGCTCGTAGCGCTCGTGCTGTCCATTTCCCTCAAGCTCGTCATGTTCCTCGTGATGCTCATGTCGGTCGACCTCTTCCTGCTCGCCATGTTCCTCATGATGTTCATAGTGCTCAACCTCTTGCTCCTCATCTTCTTGCATCTCCTCATGTTCCTCGAACTCGTCATGCTCAGCGTCTTGCATCTCCCCTTGTTCCTCATGATGCTCATATCGCTCAACCTCTTCTTGCTCCTCATCGTCTTGCATCTCCTCATGTTCCTCATTATGATGTGCATATTGCTCGACCTCTTCTTGCTCATGTTCCTCATGATGTTCATGGTGCTCGACCTCTTCCTGTTCTTCATCATGTCCCTCATTATGATGTTCATAATGCTCGGCCTCTTCTTGTTCCTCATCGTCTTCCATCTCCTCATGTTCCTCGAACTCGTCATGCTCATCGTGTTGGTTGAGTCCTCCTCCACGTACTTGGAGCTCTTCATGCTCCCCAAAGCCTTCGTGTTCCGCATATTCCTCGTGTACCCCGTGTTCCTCGAATTCGTGTTGCTCTTCGCTCCCCTGCTGCTCGGTATATCCTTCCAAAGCCTCTTCATGCTCCTCGTGCTCTTCGTGCTCTTCCTCTTCCTCTTCCTCCTCCCATTCTTGCTGTTTGTGGGCTTCCGCTTCTACCTCCTCGTCATACTCTTCCATTTCTTCCTCTTGCCCCTCGTGGTGTGCCGAGTCTTCCTCTCTCTCTCCCTCATCGTGCACCAGCTCCATATCCTGTTCCTGTTCCTGCTCCTCCTCGAGCTCCTCTTCTTGCCCCGGCTCTTCATGCTCTAAAAAATCTCTGTGCTCCTCGTGCTCCTCTTGCCCCTCCTGATAGTGATCATCAAATTCCGGATGATCTTCATGGCCACCGTAGTCTCCATGTTTCCCATGCTCTTCATGCGTATACACTTCGTGCCCATGCTCTTCGAGGCCATGCTCTTCGTGCTCACTCTCTTCGTGCCCATGCTCTTCGTGCCCATGCTCTTCGTGCCCATGCTCTTCGTGCCCATGCTCTTCGTGCCCATGCTCTTCGTGCCCATGCTCTTCATGATCACTCTCTTCGTCTTCGATATGCCGTACTGGAGAACTCGTGTCAGGCACTGCAAACCTCCCCGGTGCCAAGAAGGCTCTATTGTACCTTTGCGTAGCAAAAAAACCTTGTTCCGGGGCCTTGTCGGCAGCTTCTTCAATGTCATCATCCGCATGCGTTTCGGTATACTGGGCTGGTTCCTCCTCGATGTGTTCCTCCTCAACGTGTTCCTCCTCAACGTGTTCCTCCTCAACGTGTTCCTCCTCAACGTGTTCCTCCTCAATGTGTTCCTCGATGTGTTCTTCCTCGACATGTTCCTCCTTGACATGTTCCTCCTCGGCATGTTCTTCTTCAGGATGCTCTTCCGCATGATGCTCCTGAATTTGCTCTTCTTCGGCATGTTCGTCCTCTCGTTGCAATCCGTACTCCCCCAAGTCAACTCTTCGGTCACTCTGAGTGGCAGCAAAGTTCAAGGGCTTAGGCGCCGCGGCATCGAGATAATTTCGAGGAATATCGGAAAAGGAATCTTGGTAGTTTGAGCGCTCCCTTCTGGACTGTGCGGATGACGGCTGTTTACCAGCTCTAGTGGGCGTCGGCTCGTCCTCCCTCTCATGTTGATCAAACCTGAACAGTCTCCCCGACCTCTTTGCAGCTGACCGCAGAGTCTGATGCCTCAGTGGCGAGGTCCCCATCTTCTTAGGTTTACGGGACCACCACGGACTGAGGCTCAGACGCGCGTTTCTTGCGGATTCTCGGATGATAGGAACAAAAACGGGTTCCGGCTCCGGCTGGTCTTCGATCTCGGGCTCCTCAGGGATTTCGATCTGCTCTGTAATCTCTACTGGATCGCTGGTTTGCGCAACTTCCCTTCTTAGTGATTCCAGTGTGTTATTGATGAAAAGCTGCGTTTCTTCGCCAACCTCGTCATCATCTCCAACAGGCTGGAATGAACTGTTACCGTTGCGACTGCCCTGTAGCGAGGGGATTCCATTCATGAAGATCATGCTAAAGTCCTCTCCCTGAGCGATCGTATCGTTGGTCTGAGAACTAAAGTCATCGATGTGCTCGTCCACGGTGGAGTGATCGCTTGCTTCGGGAGCACGGCTGTCATGGTTGCTTTTGGAGGGCCGCTGACGAGTCGAAGATTGCCCTGCGGCCCTGGGTGTCGCCTCGTTGTCGTCATTGTCAGGACCTTGTCTCGATGATGGAGGCGGTATTAAATCCACGGCGTCGCTTTCGCTTGTCCGGCGACCGCTCTGGACTTGGCTTCTTTCTGCTGTTGCTTCTTCTGCTATTCCAACCAGCTCGTCGGGCGCCATTGCCTGTCGTCTCCGACCTCGTTTCGCAGCCCCCAATTCACTAGACGGCTGAGAGGCCTGGGTTTTGGGCGGACGCCCTCGCTTCTTTGAGGTTGCCGGCGTGGCATGAAAATTTTCTTTGCCGTCATCAGGATGTAGCTGTATAGTGCTTCCTCCTCCTCCAAACTTGTCGGTGCGTATACGGCGTGGGTTCCGGCTGATCGGTGATCCCGCTCTCCTCTTGATGCCCGCTACCGGGTTGGGCGTTCCATTAGACATTCGAGGGCGGCCCCGTCTCCTGCTGGGGGTGGTGGCGGTTGTGAGCTCGTCCTCGCCAGTCTCCCGCAGCGGGACCGTCGTCGTGACTGTTTCGCCGGCCCTGCGCCGCACGGTAGAAGGCGACGAGACCGGCGACTTGAACAGCTTCCTCCTCGCGCCGTTCGGGGTCGAGGCCATGGTGTCGCTCGGGCCGCCGTCGCCGTGGCCCTCCGTCTGGACCAAAGCCAGTGACCGCTGCGGCGATGCTGGTTCACCCGCTTGCACGTTGAGCGTCTGTTTCCGGGGCGAGGCTGGCGAGAGGAGGCGATGATTCGGTTGGCTGTGCGACACGCGACGCGACGCGGGCTGGGTCTTGGGATCGGGCGCAAGGCTGTTGTTAGCAGCAGCGGCAGTAGTAGTAGTAGGAAACGATATTATAGTGGGTTCGTTCAGCGGGTCGGGCGAGCTCATAATATCAACACTAGGCGTGTTGGGGTCTGCGATGCTGTGCCAGCGGAGGTTGAACGAGGCAGACGCGGGCTGGAGTCCGGGCTTTCTGCGCCGGGGCATCTGCAGGCGAGCCGGCCGACTGTCTCATTCCAGATCGATCTACGGATTCAACACTGTACAGTCGCATGTACTGCTCTCATCACAGGGCTACTACTAGCCTCAGCGTGAGGTGCGTGCGAAGGGTTTCTTTTCGAGGCATGTATTCGTCACCAACCGTGACGTGCAAAGCTACATTCATCCAGCCTGGCCTTCCGGGCACTGCCCACAACGGCTTAGCTTCGCTCTCTTTGGGGCCTTGAGCTCGATTCCTCCAAGCTGCGTCTGAATCGCAGTATCGTTACTCCGGAGCCGTATCTATGCAAGATCGTGGGTGCGCAAGTGATCCATGCCCTCAGAATGGAGTCAATAAAGGCTACCAGCTCAGTGACATGCCTCCGACTTTCATTCACTTCCCCAGATTTATCTCTGGTCTAATATCAAGGCAGCTTTTACTAACAACACCACCATCCCGCGGCTCATCTTAAACCCAGCGCTTGCGTCCGAGTGACTCCCGCCATCCCCAATCCAGCACCAACCTCGGCATCAGCCACTTAGACTTCAGGTTCTCACCAGCATCTTTGCCTTTCCCCCAAATGCCCCGAAACACCCCGCCAGAGTCACATGCAATCCCCCCAAACTCCAGCGCACTAGCGGGTTCCCACGGGGGAGGCATGACTTCATTCCAGCGCACTTCTGCCGCGCTAGAGCGCCATCGAGTGCCGCGACAGTAAGCCAAAACGTCGGCTTCAACTTTTATCCAGACGATACCTCGGCTTGCATCCTGCCAGGGGGTTTTTGCATCAAATGAACCACTGAACTTCCGATTAAGCTTCATGGTTCTCTCGCCGATATATCACTGAGCTCCGAGCTTTTCCTTCATCCTGGTTCCTCATCGCCGGACGTCACTCAATCCGCAGGAGGGCTTCGCACTATCAACAACAACTGACCGACAAGTAACCAAGCCCGCTCAACCCCGATCTCCCGACGACTTCCAACGCCATGTCTGCCAAATCTCCTCTTCCGCAAAACGACAATGTCGCCCACGCCCTTGCCGGGGCTGGCGGCGGCATCCTCTCCATGATCCTGACGTACGATCTTTCTCTATACCTTGTTCGCGTCACCGCAGCCCGCCGTCTTGTTGCTAACCCCCCCGGAATAGCTACCCTCTCATCACCCTCTCCACCAGAGCCCAGGTCGAGTCCAAAAAGGCCGAGAGCAAGTTCACCGAGGCCGTGCAGAAGATCATCGCGCGCGAGGGCTTCTCGGGCCTGTACTCGGGCATCAACTCGGCCCTCTTCGGCATCAGCGTCACCAACTTCATCTACTACTACTGGTACGAGTGGACGCGGGCCTTCTTCGAAAAGGCCGCCACCCGCGCCGGCCGCGCCAGCAAGAAGCTCACCACCGTCGAGGCCATGATCGCCGGCGCCATTGCCGGCTCGGCCACCGTCATCATCACGAACCCCATCTGGGTCGTCAACACGCGCGTCACCACGCGCCGCCAGGAGCCCGACCTCGAGGCCGGCGGCGGCGGCGCCGACGGAAGACGCGCCAAGGCCCCTACCACGCTGGGGACGCTCATGTCCTTGCTGAAGAAGGAGGGGCCGCGGGCCCTGTTCGCGGGAGTCATCCCGGCGCTGGTGCTGGTCATCAACCCCATTCTCCAGTATACGCTCTTCGAGCAGATGAAGAATGCTGTGGAGAAGAAGAGGAAGGTGACGCCCACCATAGCGTTTGTCCTGGGGGCCCTGGGCAAGCTGTTTGCGACCAGCGTGACGTATCCTTACATCACCGCCAAGAGCCAGATGCACGTCGCTGCCCATAACGAGAAGAAGGAGGGCATGTCCCAGGCCCTAAGGCGTGTGGTTAGGGACGAAGGCTATGCCGGTCTATACAAGGGTGAGTCGATGGATCTGTAACCCATACCTGTCGCTTCTTCAGGAGCAATGGGCAACTGACGAGAATACAACAGGCATTGGCCCCAAGGTTACCCAGAGCGTCCTCACGGCTGCCTTCCTCTTCGCCTTCAAGGACGTTCTCTACGAGCAGACTGTGAGACTCAGGATGGGCCGCAACAAGGCGTAGAGTACAGTCACTCTCCTACCGCGCCAGTGGTGCTTGTTTTACCACTACACTGTAATTTCACCCTCTTCCGACAGACCGTATCGAACTACGAACGCTGTTCGAGGAACCGGTAGATAGGGGCACTAACCTTTCTTTTCCTTTTCCTCTCTCTCTATGCTGTACCATTAGTGTACCATCACCACAGGCAAGGTGAACTTTTACAAGAGGCGGACGATATCCCTGAGGATTTAGAATGGGCCTTGGAAAGAAGTTTCAAAGGGCAGCTTGAAGTTAATGTATGTATGTACGTCATGAATGAAGAATCTAGGATCTGATTCGACTTTCTTCCTGGCTTTCCATCTCTCTCGTGCGAATACTTGAACACATATTAGTTCTCCTTGATAATTAGGTACGACTACATCTCTCATGCCAGCGGCACGATCTTTGGGACAAGCCAGAACGGATGGTACGCCTTCTGCGGCTCAGGAACCTCGACCTTGATCTTCAAATCCTCCGGATCCGCGGCCTTGGACACAGCCTTCTGCACCGCCGCAATAGCAATCTTGGTCGCAATGCACGACTTGAGCCCGTTCTTGGCCGCCTCGGCCCACCGCTGGTGAGAGCCGACCGAGAAGGACTCCTCGGCCGTCATCTTGCTCAGCGCCTCGAAGCCCCTCTTGGCGCCCTCGACCGCCCTCTCCGCGTACTCAAACAGCTCCTCCATGTCCGTGTCCGGCTGCAGCGTGCCAGTCGTGAACTCTTCAAAGGTGGGCAGCACGGGGAGGCCCACCGGCGCGAACGGCCTCATCCGGATCTCGTACCGGAGCTCGTCGGTGCCGTACGGCCGGGGCGGCGCCTTGATGAGCTTGAGGCGGTTCAGGACGGTGTACAGGCAGGACAGCGAGTCGGAGAGCTCCCAGGTGACGGCTGCGTCGAGCAGCGACAGGCGGGTGTACATGAGCGACCGCTGCAGCTGCGGGCCGACGGTGGGATCTGACGGTGCGGGCTGGCTCTGCGCCTCTTCGACCCTCTTGATGACGAACATCTTGATGCGCTCGGTATGGTGCAGGCGGGACTTGGCGATGTAGTTGAGATACCAGTACATGCCGGCGAGCTCGTCGGCCTGGTAAATCTCCAGCTCGAAGCCCAGCTGGATGATTTGCTCCATCTGCCGCAGCTTGTACAGGTACGTCCACGACGACAGGGGCAGCGAGTAAGACTCCACGCCGCCGCTGCTGCCCATCGATGACCTGTACATTGTCGGCTGCTCCTTTGCCTTGACCTGCAGGATCTGGTCGATTTCTTCCGCGTCCAGCTGGAGAGCCTCCCAGTCGCGAAGGAGGTGGCAGAGCGTCCTCCTCACCCGACACCGATTCTGGCACGCCGTGCGCAGGATGTCCAGAAACGGCTGCGCCGCCCTCGTCCTGAAGAGCTCCATCTGCTGCGCCATGGCGTACCGCGGATCTTGGACGGCCTCGACCTCGTCGTTGAGTCTGTCCAGGTACTGGTGCGCCGGCATCGTCAGAATGGCAAAGTCGTCGTCGAGGAGCTGGCGGATGCTCATAGACCCTAGAACTTCCATGGCGTCGAATAGGAACGTCTGCAGTAATGTTCGCACATACACGATGGGCTGCGGCTTCTTTGCTTGAAAAGTAGTTACGAACGTCTGTGTTTCTTTCGTCAGCACAACTTGGACGTTTATCTCCACGGTCGGGTCGGCGACACGTACCAGCAAGCACTGCGAGTCAGTATAATGTAAAACGTCGATTAGCTCCAGGGCGTCTTCGAACAGACCCTTTAGGTGGCCAAAAGCGACGTCAAAGTCCAGTTGAACAATGGGCCGCGGAGGCATAGTGCTGGCCAGCTTCCTCTGCAGCTTAGCGCTGAAGGCTTCATCCACCGGTGAGGCAAGCGAGTGAGTTGTCTTCAAGGCTGGCAAGATGGCAAGGCCTTCTTTCCAAGGGTTCTTGGCCAACTCGGGCTCCTTCATGTGCTTGGGGCACTCCACCGCATCCAAGAAGATATGCCTCAATTTCAGGCGAAGCAGCAGGGCTTCGACAAAGTCGTCTGGGATGGAGCCTCGTTTTGACTTGAGGGCCGCCATGGCCTCGAGTAGAACGTCCTGGATCGCGTTTGTCGGTATACTTGCTAGAAGTGTGCGGTTATATGTGTTTGTGACAAAGTCTTCTTCCTAAGGCCGTCGGCTTAGCAACAGAACCACTGCCAGCAGCGGAGCAAAGACTCTTCTTACCTCATAATAATGCTCCGACTTGATCCTCTCGTTCACATAGCCGCAGCTTTTGAGCATGCCCAGGCAGTACGCCCGGAGGACCTGAAGCATAAGCTGCTCGTTTGGGTCATGGCCGCCGCCGCGGATGAAGGTGGCCTCTTGGATGCTACGAGGATCCGGCATAGAGAGGGCCTCGACGTAGAAGCTCGTGAAGAGAGTTTGAGAGAGGGGATATCCTAAATGCCATGACATCTGATAGAACATGAGCGCTTGAAACACGGCACGGCGCACGCATCTCCGAACTGACCTCGTGACATAACAGCTGGTCTATGATGCCGAGCACCTCCTCTGGTAGCAGTAACCTGGAGACGTCGTAGAAAGGTTCTACCTCAGCCTCCGCAGCAGCGCATCCGCTGTCCATCTTGGGGTCCATGATCTACCGCCGAGTCAGCATACGGGAGCCTCATACACTAGGCAATACTCCAGCAGAAGACGAACCTCCAGGGCTGCGACGGAATCGAACAGCGTAAAGAAGCCATCCTTGACGATGGCCCCCGGCTCAAGGGCTGTTTGTTTGTATGTCCGCAATCAGCTTACGTGCACTGCAGACTCTCTCAAATCCCCTTGGGGACCCCCCCCGAAGATGCGGCTTTGCTCACTCTTGACAGCATCTGAAAACTTTGCCGTAATGTCCACGGCGATGATGCCCTCGCTCCTGATGTTGGGCGCTATCGTCTCCGAAGGCGAAGAGCCCCGGCCCAGCGACAATCTCGCGATTTCTGCGCTGCCTCGCGATTAGAAATTATACGCTTGAAGAGTGAGAGGAGCTGGTGGTGATGAGCTCTGATTGAAGCCCATCTTGGAGGGGTTTTTTTCCGCACCGTCAGGCACCCCGATGCCAAAGTCAGCCATGTCTTGCAGATGGGATTTTCACGCTCGGCGGCAGTCAGCTCTGCATGTTTTTATTACTGCGCGCGTCGTTGTCTAAGGTATGAAGAGGAGAAGAGATAAAGAGAAGCTCCCCTGGTGGTGGCTTGAAATGGGGTCTGGCTTTTGGTGACGACTAGAAGAAAAGGTACGGCACACTGTTCGCGGGCCGACACACAGACCTAAAGCGAAGGACAGCAGCACAGGACAGTGCCGGATGCTTTGAGCAACCTCCCTTTATTTGATGCACAGTTTCGGCATGTATTTGCGTGCAGAGTCTACGAGGCAAGAAGCATAGAATGGGCTTCTTTTCGACGAGTTTAACGGGATTGCGGCGATTGCAGAGGTCAGCAGCTTCGTCACAGGCTTCAGTCGCATTCCCCACCATGCGTACAATTCTCTGTCCTGTCAACTGAAGTCACCCCTCTCCAAATGCTATCAGTCGCGGGAACACAGCAACCCAAGCTCTGCTCGAAGCACCTAAACGGCCCATGTTGTATGATTTCAGTTGCCTCAATCTATTGATGTATTGCAGCAATTAGTTATTTTACAGCGCCCGCAGTCCGGAAATCAGCCCCAGTCGCATGGCGTTTCTTGTCGGTCTTCCAACATCTATCACACGACCATTTCGCCCATCTCATCCTTCGGTTCCCTTTTCAATTGTCCAGGTTAAGAAGAGGCGCTCTCGGCCATGGCGGCGGCGTTGGCGGCAGCGAGATCCTTGGACTCGCCAGGCTTGCCGTTCTGCTGAGGCATTAACAACCCGGTCCCGTCTCTCTGTCCGTACCAGCTCGCTCCAAGTCCACATACCTTCCAGACAGCAAATCGCAGCTCGGAAACAGCACGTCGCTCGGCAACAATTCTCTTGTCCTCCTTAAGGCTTCGGCGGATGGCGCGGGCCGCGACGGCCAGGTAGCGGTTGTAGCTATTTTTCATGGCGGGTTAGCGATCATGGGCTCGCAGACTTTCGGCGGGAGAAAAAGTGTCGCAGCGCAGCGGTCAGGAGCGCATCTCGGGGCAGCGAGAACGGGGTCGCTTCGGCAGGGGATCAATCGACGTACGTCAAACCGGCGGCTTTCCACGCAGCAGTCATCTTGGCGGATCGATGGGGGGTTGAAGGGCGGAAGTAAGGCGTTGTTAATGATTGCCGATTGAATCTTTGCCAGAACCGAGCGCTTGAGCCTGCACTAACACCTGAGGCTGCAAAAAGTCACGTGCGTTGGATTGCTGACTCAGCGGTGTTCCGCAGCTTCCCGTCACTTACACAGACTTGACAGACCACACTCCGTGTTAATCCGCAGACTATGTATGTACAAGCAACTTGCATGAGAGCTTCAGTTCCAATTCTCCGGCCCCTGTCATGAACTGGCCCAGTACTTCCTATTTCCACCAATTCAAGACGGCATTCGGGAATCTGTGTTGCATCTCGCACAGGCCAGCAAGCCACCAATTCCGAGTGTGTTTTTTGCCCGGAATTGGCCATCTCGCATCAGCAGGTCCAGCAAGACCGGAGTGATCAAGTAAGCAGGGCTGCATCTCATCCCCATCTCTCCTTTGCTGAGATGAGCTTAGTTGGGTCAGCCGTAGCTCAGTGCTTGTACGGACGGCATGCAGAGTAGCATAGCTCGATTGATTTATTGCGGAAGACTTGCTCAGCCCCAACGACGCTTTCAGAAGCTGAGACGCGGACTATCTCACTGGCAAGGATCCAAGGACTGGGCCTCCCCTATTCGTCCGTTATCTCCTGCGGAGATGGCTTCTGCTCCGCTCGCGAGAGCCTTCGCTGGCAATGGAGCTGCTTAGTATCGGGCGTTAAAGGCACCGGTGCCCTATCAGTCTGCCTTTGCTCCCAAGGAACTCTTCCTTCTTCAATCATGCTCTTGTTCTCACTCTGAACAAGCAGAATGTCCCTTGCTGTCCAGGGCAGACGGCGCCAGCCGCAGGAGCTACTCCTCGCTGATGGCAAAAGGATCATCGTGACCCTTCCTGAGGACCTCGAGGACGTTCGCCGCAAATACCTAAACGACGATGATGCGCAAGTGGAGGTGGTCGTTCACGGTTCCCTAAAGCACAGCCAATACCTTCGGCAATCCCGGGATCATCACGAACAGCGCCGGCAGCTTTTGCGGGAACAACACGGGCCTGCCTTTGACGAATGGGAGCTTGTTCATAGTCAGCTCTCGTCAGTAAATACAGAGCTGGAGCGCCTGGAGAACCAAGCATCCGGGCTCTATGGCAACTTCAGCAAGTTTGGCTACGACGCTGCCGTGCGGACCTACAGTGATGAAGATCCGCCTGTTGCGTCTTCGCACACATCAATATCTGACAAAGCCCGAGGGCAGCAGGGCCAGGAGGGAGAGCGTCACGGAGGAACTACCAAGCTGTTCAAGCGCCCAGTTGTAAGGCAGTGGTTCCATCAGGGTGTGCTATGGAGAGCGTCGGAGCAGACAGAAGTCATGGCCATTGAGCTGTTCCTGGATCTCGTGTACGGTATGTTGTCTGTTCATACAGAGTCTTCGATATGGATGACGTTGGTTAGTAACCGCAGCACCAGTTGGCATCATTCATTCCAACGGCGAGCACATGGCGGAAGAAGCAACAGCACACGAACTCCTTCGCTTCGTCATCACATTCGTCATGACCTGGAAGATATGGACCGACATCACTCTGACGCTCAGCTGGTTCGAGACGGACGACGTGGTCACCAGGCTGGAGATTCTGTTTTGCATGTCCTGTCTCATTGGGTAAATCCATCTACAGCATCAGTGACCAACTAACTACACTTTGGCTGACAGGCAGCAGATTTACCACGAACATGACCCATATCTTTGTCCACGATGCAGCACAAAACACCTATGTGCAGCTTGTGTCCTTCTACCTCGCCACCCGCATCGCCACCGCAGTGTTTTATGCCACTGCTGCCTGTCTTCTGCCCATGATTAAGGGCCCCATGGTCTTCCAGATAATGGGCATCGTCACCCCAACAGCTCTATGGATCGCCAGCATCTACGTTGACATGCCCGATCGTCTGGGGCTCATCATTCCGGCATTGGCTCTTGACTTGTACGGCCAAGTCTTCTACATCAGGCTATTCAAGTACGGCCAAGGTCAGGTGCCCGAGGGTAGATGGAAACAGCGGCTCGGTCGCATGTTTGAGTTTTATCCCGCCATGAGCATCGAGCACCGAGTCGAAAGGATGAATGCATTCGTGTCGCTGGTTCTCGGCTATTCGGTTGTCGCCATCCTGTTCCAGAGCAATGGTGGCTACAATATCAATGCTTTTCTAGGGAAAGCCCTACTGGCACTGATGCAGGCGTTTACGTTCAACTGGATCTACTTTGATATCGATGGCAGCGGCCTCAAGGTGCATGCCATTCGGCGTTCTGGAATCTCCGGTAAGTCCTGTCACATATGTATTTCTCCCTAAATCAAAATCTCCCCCTAACACTTATGCAGCCGGTCTCTGGGACATTGCTCATCTGCCGTTCATCATGGGCTACATCGTCGCCACGGCAGCCCTCTCGAGGCTCGTCTTAGCCACCGACGTGCCAAACACCAATCCAGAGCAACTCGCAGAGTCTTACCGGGACAACGCTGGGGACCATTTCAACGCCGGCGTCCGTTTCTTCTACTGCCACGGCCTGGCCATTGCCCTTCTGTCCATGGCAGCCATCTCGTTCTCTCACGAGCACAAGAAGCCGCCAACGCTCCGGCTGCACAAGAACGTCCGGCTCGCCAATCGCATCGCCGCCTGCCTTGTCATGTTCTTCCTACCAATGGTGCACTCGCTTCGATCTCTTGATCTAATTTCCATTACGTTGGGCTTGTCGATATGGGTGCTTGTCGTGGAGCTTTGGGGAAAGTCGCGTACCGATGACCCCTTCATTGGCGAAAAGGACGGCTGTTCCATTACGTACCATGCGAACAAGAAGATGAATGCCCCAGATGAGAAACAAATGAGCGGCGGGGCGTTGGAATCGGGCAGAGGAGAAGAGTCTGCTGTTTAGCTTGACTCTTGTCTCCTGTTAACAGCTATGAAAGGCACTCTTAGAAGAAGCATTCTGACAGAACATAACAGACTCGGAATATACTCTACGATATCAAACGTGATAAAACGGTCTATGATCCACCTCACATCTTCTACATCACTCTTCCTGTCCCTCATCAACCAATAAGCGACACCGTAGCAATGGCCTGCTGCATCCTCCTCCGATCAACCTCCTTCTTCAACATGACCAAACAACTCGCCACCACCAAAACCTCCACCCGCTCCATCTCCCCCTTGACCCCCTCCCACTCCCTCAAATCAACCATCAACCTTCCCCCGTTCCCCGCCGTCGTCGCCTTCGTCCCCCTCGTCCTCACCTCCTCGTTCCGCACAAACCGCGCCACGGGAACCCTCCTCTCCTCCTGCTGCCCCAACCCGCCCTCCGAAGCAACCATGACGATTCGATCCAGCACCAGCAAGCTATCATCCGCTCCTCCTCCTCCTCCTCCTCCCGCAGCAGCAGCCTTCTTCCTCTCCCCCCGCCCCGCATAACGCCACTCAAAGGTACCGAGATGCTGCGTGCGAAAGACTTGCGCCCGCGTGGCGAGCCCCTTGTTCACGACTTGAATTTCTTCTTCTTCTTCTTCCTCACCTTCCTCGCCGTGGCCTGTGACGAGCTCGATTTTGGGCGGGCGGCCGGGGCCCCAGCGGTATGTAGTTCTGCAGACGAGGTTGTTGTTGTTGATGTTGTTGTTGTTCACGTCGCCTGCGCGGATGAGGATGCTGTTGCCGGAACAGCGGAGGGGGCGGATGGATTCGTAGGCGAGGTCTGCGACTGTGCCAGAGGCGACATCTACGTTGTATATCCGGATGGGGATGGGGCGAGGGGGCGTGGGCAGGGCGATGAGGGGGCGGCCTTGGGCTTCGACCTGGAAGGCCTTTGTGCAGTGAAAGTATGGTGGTTGAGGCGATGACGACAAGCTATAGACGTCGACATGGTGGTGATGGGGGGCGTCGTCGTAGTACTTGGGAGGTGAAGAAGAGCTGGAGTGGGAGGATGTTGCTGACAGTGCTCTGAGTTGGTAGCTGCCGGCTTCGTAGGGTGGAAGAGATGAAGCTGTTGACGATGCCCGGGACGGCTTTTGGTGGAGGGAGAGGACTTGGGTTTGGGTGGTGGTTGCCATTGTATGAGGTCGGCGAGGAGGCTGTTATATAGCGAAGGAGGAGATTGTATAGATTTCTAGATATCAACAAAATACTGCTGGATGGATGCTGCCGTCCTGAATGCAGCCTGATGCCAACCAGTTTATATATGATTTCCCCAACGCCACTTACATGCAGCACCCCTCTCGCTTGAACCACATATTCACCACCATCACGCATCATCGCCATGGCCCTCGTCTTATGTTCCCAAGCCACAAAGGCAACTACCTACCTCAAAACACCCGCCATCTCAGCCAAAAACCGCCCAACCCGAGCAATACGGCCCTCCTCAGCCACAACCCATCGCGTCGCCATCAAGCTCCGTTGACAGAAAAGCGGATCCCGCTATGTCTCTTTTCCTCGCTCAGCCCAAAATACGTGGAATACGATGCAGCGCGGACCAATCAGACAGCAGCCCGGAATGGGAGACCATGAGCTTCTTAGCGTTGGCGTCGTTGGGCAGGAGGATCCTTTTGTGGAGACTAGCAAAGCATAATCGCACCTACCTTCATGCTCTCTTTACAGTACTCTTTCTTACAGCACTCTCTCTCTCTCTCTCCGTGTCTTCGGTCTGGCACTTCAAGGGGAAAATAATGCCCCGTGACTTGAGAAAACCCAAGTGGCTGTACCATCAAGTCGTTTCTAGTCTGGATATCCTTGAGTTCTGAAGCCTACCTATGCACCAGAAAATCCGGTAGTATGTAGTACTGAAGAATGTCGAAGCTTAGCACAATACCTAGTGAGAATAACGGAGAGTCGGCATGTCTATTAGAACTCCAAGACCGTGGCACATGGCCGAGCAACAGTCGTATTGCTCGTACAAAATGACCGCTCCCGATGTGCTTCATAGCCAATGTACTGTGTTGATGATGCCACGAGATATCTATAATGTGTTAATGCACCCTCTTAGCTGCAAAGCCATCTTCCAACCCAGATCTTACAACGTATCGCTCATTGTACACATTCGGTTCGCCCCTGATATTCGTACTGATCATTGGCATGCCAACGCCAAACAAGCGTGCGATGCCAATATGCCAACACGCTCGCATCCAAACAGCCACGCCTCTACAAACGCTTTCCAAAAAAGGTAATGTCATTGTCCAACTGTTCATCAACCCATCTCGGCCACTCGTTGAACATCTGATGTTCGTGATCCACTCGCGCGTTGAGGTGTTTGAGCCAACGAATGAATCCGGGATCCATCCGATTGTCTTGCCGAGCAGGGTGCTTCTCTCGCACAGCATATTCTTGCTCGTTGATGAAGGCCATGATTTGCGACAGCGCTATCCAATGAGTATGCAAGAGGATAACGACCTGGTTATTTGCGTTGATGAGATCCTGGAACAAGGCATGGGGCAGCAGCATCCACCATGCGTATTGTCTCGAATTGGCCTTGTATGCTGCGGCAAAGAAAAACATGTCAGCGTTGCCACTGTGCCACCAGATCCTGTAATCAGCTCACCTTCGAATGAATTAGTGAGGAGACAGGATGAAATCGTCTTCAGATGTCCGTGGTAATCGATTTCGACCTGTCGCGTACACAGGGGACCTAATCTTTCAATGGACTCAATAGCTGCCTCCGCCCATCCCCTCTGAATCAGCGGCAGTCCCTCCATATATGGCGCGAGGACATCATCATTGTTCGATTCGAACAGGTTGTTGAAAAGGGGCTTGATGCTCTTAAACATCATCTGCATCCCCACAATGACAATGCCGCGGATGAACGTCATGTACTCGGCCAGTCCATCCTCAAGGCTGACGGATTGAAATGTCAGTGCAAAGCACGTCGCCACCAGAGCGTTGGCCTCCTCGTAAGTCAAGTCCATCTTTGACGTCTCTGTCAGTCGTTTCTTGATCGCCTTGACGGCCTTGATGCGGTGTCCCATGGCCACGGACGCCAGGCTGCTATCGGTATGCATCAATTCGGAGGCTGCGTAGCCCAGGATAGCGTGCATAAGGAATTCATGCTGGCGAGAGTACATCAGTCGTACTGATCGATCAAACGGGGTGCTTCCCGCATGTCATTGACGTAACACCAAATAGAAGTCACAGACATACGTTATGTGCTATGCTTGGAATCTCGTGGGTCCAGATCTCCTCCTGCTTGAGAGGATGGTGGGGATAGCACTGGGTCAAGAAGTATTGAAAACATCGCATGTCCTGCAAGCTGAAGAGGGGTATCTGGTTGTGAGGCTGCTAGGTATGTCAGCGCAGTTCCAGATGCCTATTGCTGGACGTATCGTGGGGGTGGTCTTGAGAAGATAATACCTGGTGCGTGATCTGGGGCGAGGCGGGATACTCGCATTTCAGGCCTGTCTTGAGACAGTGACCGCAGGCTGGATGTGTCTCTTGGCACTACAGTGCAGCACATGCAGCGACTGTCGCATCAGCCTCTCGTGTTCTGCCAATGGCAATGACCGTGCTGAGCCTTTACCTTGATGCGCCTCCGCTTGCAGTTGTAACATCCTCGGCGGCTCTTGGTGTGGCCTCTTCTCTCAAGCCGCTGCCTGGCCTGTGCCGGCAAGCGACGGAGGCTCAGATCGAGCGTGTCGTAGTTGTTGCTGTTGCCGGACAGAGCCCTCACGCTGGGACCAGGCGGCGTGTGCATCCCTTCTCCTGAAGAGCCCGAGAGCGACGCTGTCGACTGGCCCTGCATCGAATCCATGAAGCCCATGTCGTCGGCCTGCAGAAAGGCGGCATAGTCGAAATCAGAAGGTTCAGGAAACGACATGATGTCGTCGTCAAAAGACTGCAAGTCCATGGTGGGCGAGGTCTCAAGGGCGCAATAGACAAGGTATAAGCACGTCTTTACGGATTCGCTCGCCGGATGACTCTTGTGCGGCCCCACGCGCTTTACTTGGGAGTAAGGTATGATTGTGACATACGCAACTGTGAGTGGCGCGAAGACGTAGCCGGTCTCGGCACTGGCTTGGGAATCGTGAATGACTTGGCAACAATTTGCGAGCGGCCGGCAAAGCAGATAGGCGAGCGAAATCAGATCCTTTGCCAGGCCGTGAAGTGCTTTGGTCGTCAAATGCCGTAAATGGAAGTCTGAAGCTGGTCGTTTCGAGAGCCGGCACTTGTTGTACTTTTAGCCGCAGCTGGAACGGAGCACCTTTACTCCGTGTGCCCACGTACGAGTATTCCGTGTAAAGCGCAGGCGTGTGGCCGTGGATGGCATTCCCTTGATCCTATCCAACCGATATTTCAAAGGGGGCATGGCTCTGAGCCACTGAAATGGCGTGGATCCCTTCTTGTTGCACTGATGATGATCAGGCTCTCCAGTAACGTAACTCTCACCCTTCTGCACAGCCTGCCGTTCGTCCGTAACCTGGTCCATTCTTGGCCGCCATGCCTCTGACTCGCTTCAGCCTACCTTTTCCCAGCAGAGATCAATACGAGTTACTAAGATACGGTTGACAGCATGCATATATAGTAGTACCTGGCAGAATCAACGGTAATTGCGCGCTAGACAGAGCGCGGCTGGCGAGTATCGAGGCGCTGCACTCGTCCCACGTGCTTGGGGGTTCTGTTGGTGTATGAGTACATGCTAGGTAGTAGGCGTGGTGCCAAAGGCATTAGCCGCAGCAGTCCCTTGATAGTGTGGCTGCATGACGCCTTCGCACGTTGCGAGCCCGCAGGTGGAAGGATGTTTGCTCTGTAGCCAGAAGGCTCGCCGTTGGTGGTTAAAGAGCGAAGAGCACAGCAGATTGTCGGGACTGAAAAGCCCTTCATGCGAGATCATCTTTGCTTGTCGTCATCCCTTTGTGTCAAGGTTCTTTTCGGCAACTGGTGGTATCAGAGCCACCCTCCGTGTCTCCTGGAATGCGTCGAGCTCGTAGGTACTTGTACTGTACTGTGGCGCGTTTGCCTTCCAATTGGTTTAGGACGATCAACTCACCCCGCGTTTCTCCCCACGCTTCCAGGGTAGACCATCAACAGCTCTCGACGGGCGGCGCTGATCAGTCAAGCGGCAACACCAAGCAGCATGAAGGTGGCGTTCGTCGGTGAGCGTTGTACAAGTAGGAACTTTTCGCTCCCTTTGCATTAATGTTCAGGGTTGACGCTGTATGGTGCTGAAAGATTCGAGCGAATGACGAATGCACTCGACGCGGCTGTTTGACAGTCCCCTCGAGTTGGCGGATAATCGGCACCGAAGGGACCGGCATACATGCTGGGTGGAAGATTTCAGCGCAATGCGAAACAATGCGCAATTTGAGACGTCGAGCCTCCTGAACAGAGCTTCCACACCCAAGAGGCATTCCCACAGTTTTGCTTGGACGAGTTGTCTTCTCAAGGCTTAACCTATAGACACCACTATTGGGGTCTTCTGAATTGCACCACACTACCTACGTTTGTTCATTGCATGGATAACACGAGAACTCAACTTCAACAGACATTGGGGGCCAAGAATTCCATCTTGGCGACCTTTTAAGCTCGGTAGCAGCCGATCGCAGGCCAAGCGTGACAGCCGCAAAGAAATCGCAGCAGTACTCCCCGGAGCGCTAGACCTTCCAATATCGGTTGGTCAACGAAGCCAGAAGGGTTTGTTGGCGCGAACCATGGGCATCATGTCCAGGTTCCCCCAAGAACATGGTGCTAATAAACTGGATACGATGACAGCTGAGATGGAGCTCCGATAGTGGCGCCTTGTCGCAATTCGATAGAGACCTGTCAAACCATCGTGGCGTGTCATCACCGGTGTTGATGCTATCATTTCGAACGATGCCAGCTTGCTGCGAACAAAACTCAGGCCAGGCTCTGGCGCCTACTGACACGCAATCTCCGGACATGGCGGTTCCAAGTATAGCTGGAGTTGGATCGCCCCAACCAAAAGAAACGAGATCGCACTATCAGTGGTGAACATAGCGGGTATCGATGTCACCAAGATTAACGGAGAGACACAAATTGAAGCCCCAACTGAAACGCCCAAGAATACTCAATCAGTCAATTAGGCATACTGCTATGCTATACGTGTAAGTTGAGATCAGTCATTTACATGGACGACAGCAGGACCAGACGCTCCACTGCGCCCAAGTCGGCCCATTGGTCGAACAGGCCGGGCAACGGTGACGGGAATGCGCGTTTGCTCCGTACGAAGTCCTCGTATGTGTGATTTAACAAGTGCCGCTTCTGTCAGGCAAAGCCCGGGGGGCTGCCATGATATTCCCAGGGTTCATGGATCCTTGCGCCTGGTATCCTGGCCCCTGAACCTGGATACCATGCCACGGTATGCATTGTTACGGAATCAAGGTGCGAGCACACCGATGACAAGGGCCGTTGACGTTCTTGGGCAGAGTCTAGAATCCAAAGCCGGAAGGGAAAGGGGCGAGCAATTTGACATATCGCGCCATTCGGGTAACGGAATGCGTGGAGTTGCTCTGTCTCTCTTGGCCTTGAACACACAGCCATCGAGCTTCCCGGAGGCACGACAGGGCCAACGGTTTCCAAGAGATTGTCTGCCCACCTCCTTTTCTCTTCTCAATCTCAGCGACAACATCTCTATCTAAGCAATACGGAGCGAGTCTGTGCGGAGTACGGAGAACCAGGCTCGGAGTATAGGTACGGAGAACTGCAGGCAGTGTCTAAACAGGCTCTTGGACCGAGGCGCAAGCTGTGAAAAATCATGCATACAAATACAGCATGAGGAGCAGTATCCACCCTGCAAGGTACAGTTACCTTCTCATCTGCCACCTCCTACTGTAATCAATGACTGCAGATGGGATTCATGTTAGTAGTATAGGACAAGAGGTGGTGGAAGGACGAGTCCTGCATGTCTGCTGCTCGTCGGGGCGCTCGGTTGCTCGAGCCCTACCTTAGGAGCCAAGCAGCGCACAGGGCACAGAATCGAGAAGCGTTCTACGAGCTCAACATGGAACCCTTGTAGTCGTCGTCAAGACGTGGTTGAGCGACTCATGCCTCCGGACGCCAAGAGACGCCAAAGGCAAAAAGCAAAGAAACAAACGCAAAAAGGAAGAAACAAAAAAAAAGCCACCGCCATCGTCTTTTGTGTGCGTATCCCGGATAGCCTTGGCGATTTACCGAGCCAACGTGGCCAAGGGGTGGAGCTCTAGTTGCTTAGGTTTGTCGCCCAACTGAAGGGTGTAGCATGTAGTGTAAGCTGCAAGTGCATCGTGGGCCGGAAGCCAAGTCCAATGGTGTGCCACTTTAGCTGCGATCTAGTCTAAACCTCCTTTGTGACCTCGCGGCCTGTTTGTTTCAGAGTATGCCGTGGCGTGAGAGTTGAGCCGTTCAAAATGTGCTCAAAAGGAAGACGAGGAAACATGTGGGATTGGAGCCACGTCTCGTCGACAAAGTTGCAGCTATCCGTGGCTGGCTGGCTGAATCAGGGCGCGCAAACCTTTATTCGACGTGCAGCAATTGTCTCACAGCCCCGTGGAAGCACGCTCAGAATCTACAATTAGTTTTGCTCCGTGAGACATTCCCACACGGGCAGACAATAAACAAGGAAAACAAGGACCTGGCTCGAAAGTCAAATTAAATACTCGTACATGTGTTCATTGTTTGCGGAGAATGAGACTCCATTCCTGTCTGTTCGTATGGCGGAGTACTCCGTGCGCGCCCGCCATCCCGTGTTATAATACTACACGTATGCTTCTATTGGGGAAGCATTTCTCGACGCCATGCCCTCGGGATATTCGCTTGCTATTTTGCCCACTGGCTTACGAAGCAGGCCAAGATCCCGACCCCCTTCTATTTTGGTGAGCATGAAACCAATAGCCGTCCCTTGCAGTCACGTTGACAGGGGGAGAGGACGCGGTGTTTGGAAGGGATGACGAGTCCTTGTACTTTGTACTCGCACGGTTGGAAGATGCCGAGGGTCGGACGAGGACGGCGTCGATTACCAAAGACTGCAGTCCTGCCGGGACTCCTCTCGCAGGCTCGTTACGACGAGTGGATGATGGGTGTGAGTACCTACATGCTCGAGGGATTGCCTTCAGCTCAAGTGCAGCCACTCGAGGAGGGAGCGTCAAACCTGGAGCCCAGATAAACTCTGGAATGGAATACGAAGGTAATAATGCGTGACCCAGGCTGACAGACTCGTATCGTATTGTCGATCTCTCTGCGCATGCGTCGTTTGCAGTCTTACTTGCACCTGCACCTCGTACCTTACATGAGGCCCTCTCAACCCACTTTACAGATCCAGGAAAAAGGTACCCAGGCAGGTAATCCGTGGTTCGCATTTCTAGGCTGGCTTGTAATTTGTCCGAGAAGGAAAAAGGGCAAAAGCCCGCATCAGTGCTGATCCCTACGATATAGTAAGAGTAGTGTGTGTATCAGGAGAAGATGCAGCCTGCAATGTGCACATAATGGGCCTGCCTGCAAGATATCTGACTGATGAAAAGTGACAGAGACAAGCACCGATGGCGTGGCCGAGGGCTCCTCGTTGGGGCCGGGATTGCCTGGCCAAAGCCTCGACTGCCTTCTCCACCAGTGCCAGAATCGGACAAGCAGGCGAGGGCCTGGATAGACCAGAGAAGGGAGAGTGAAGTGGACAGGCCGGGTTTTTTTCCGGCTGAGTGCAGAGAAGAAGAAAAGTGAAAAATTCAAATTCCAGAAAGCAACAAATCCTTGCACTACTGCCACCAGAATCCCACCTCAGCAAGCCAGATCTGGGCTGGGCCACAGCTTGCCATGCGAGGGCGGTTTCACCTTGACTAGAAGGGTGGCCGCCGTGCGAAGCGATTGGGCGCAGGCGGGCCGGCCTCGGGCGTTGCAGCTGCTGCCAGCCAACCGGAAGCCTGTGCCTGGCGGGCGGCGGCCAATCAGCAGCCGGCGGGCTGAGCGCCAGCAGCCTCAACTGGCGCTGTGCCTGACCTGTTCCTGAGGAGCTCCTCTGAAGCCCCCCCCAAAGCCCCCCCCTTGACCCCTGGCGCTAGAAGGCCTGGGCCGGCGCTAGAGGCGCTGCGACTGGGGCCTGGTCGGTTAACGGCCAGCGTTGGAGCGTGTTGGATAAGCCGCGCCGGGGCATTTCTTGCTTCGTCTTCCTTGCTTTTTTCCTGACTTTGGGAGACCCAAGACTGTCGTGGACGTGCGGAGCTTTACACTGTTTTGACTTTTGGTGCGGCGTGATGTGATCAGATGTGCTGCACGAGGGAAACAAGCGTCGAGAAAGGCCGCCCTGGACGGCATCTGATGGCATGCGGTGCTGCAATATTGCTGCTGTGCGTCCCTTTGACATTCGTCCATTCAATATCGATGGAACAAAAGGTAGGACGGCATGTGATGCTGCCTGCCATGCAGGACTTTGCTGCTGAGAGCCGGGCGGTAGTTGTACTTGTACATGTCTTTCACTGTGTGGACCATTGGATGGCAGACTCCAACAAGGCCGGCTGCGACAAGTACCTCGGGGTGACCTGACCAAACAAGGCACGCCTTGTACCGGGCTGTGGATGACGAGCTCAGTCGAAGCTGCTTTGTGCTCGTTTGCGGACTCTCTGTTTGCGTTTGGACCTCCAGAGAGTACCTGCCAGGGGCTGTCCGACCTCGTACCTTATCTCGTCGAGCACAGCATGCGTCCTCCGTCCTGCGTGTATCACGGTGCCCAGCTGCAGCCAGCTGCAGGTACCTCCAGCTGCAGGAACCCTCATCACACACTCGCAGCAAATCATGCAGCCCTGAATCGCGCCTGTTTGTCCTCTGCAGGTACCGCAGCCCTTTGCCACAGCACTACTGTAGAAGCCCCCCCCCCTCGCCCTACAGGGGTTGAGGGACCCCGCTGCCCTGCCCCGTCGTACCGCTACCTGCGCCGGGGCCAGCGCCTGTACCTTGCAGCAGGCCCTGCACCTGGCGGCTTCCACTTGCCGGGTACTTCAGGCCCCCTCGCCCCTCTCCTCCCCAGCTCATCTCTTCCCTTCTCCTTCTCCTCACCCTCTGCAGCATTTCTTTTTCCCGGCATCTCGCCAACTCGTCTTTCCTTTATCTTCTCCAGTCGCCAGTCCGACTTCGTTTGAATTCAGCCAGGCTGTTTCACTCCTTACTTCTGCGTCTTTGATAGACCTCGCACTCCTTTACCGGCCGCGCCGAACTCAACCCAACTGCCTCGCATCAGCAATACAAAAGTCGACTCGACTTGTCCTCACAGTCCTTATCCCAACTTGCAGAACCATCAAGAAATCACAACCGTCAACACCAGACAAAATGTACAAGGCCGTTGCCCTCACCTCCATCGCCGCCCTCGCGGGCCAGACCATGGGTCTCAACGTCCACCGTCACGAGCAGCACCACCAGGTGGCCAAGCGAGCCATGACCACCGACTGGACCACTGTCTGGGAGACCGTCTATGTCACCGTTGACCCGGGCGCGTCGACTGCCGCTACCGCTGCTCCCGCTGCCTCTGCTGCTCCTACCGGCTTCGGCGCCAAGGACATCCCCAGCCCCCAGGCTTCCGCTCCCGCGGCTGGCAACAACGCTGGACCTGTCCCGACCGTCACCTCGACGTCTACCGTTGTCGTTGCCTCCTCCAGTGCGGCGGCTGCTTCGTCCCCGGCTGCCTCGTCCCCCGCGGCTCCTGCCCAGGCCACCACCTTGGCCACCGCTGTCCGCCCGACCACCGTTGCTGCTCTCGACATCAAGCTGCCTGTGGCTTCTTCGGTCCAGCAGTCCTCGTCCGAGCAGGCTGTTTCCTCCACCCCGGCTGCCCCGGCCACCACGGAGACTCCCACTCCCACTCCCACGCCTTCTTCCAGCTCTCAGGCTCCTCCCCCCAGCACCACTTCTCAGGCTCCCGCTCCCAGCAAGTCTGCCTCTCCCCCCGCTAGCAGCGGTGGCAGCCCCTTCCCCAGCAAGCGTGGTATGGCTTACAACGACGGTACGCTGGCCAACTTCTTTGGTGAGACTTGCGAGGCCTGTCGCTGGGCCTACAACTGGGGCTTCTATCCCTCCGGCATCGACACCAGCAAGTACAGCTATGTTCCCACTCTCTGGGGCCCTAGCTCTGACCACTCTACTGGCTGGGACGCACAGGCTGAGGCTGCTATTTCCTCCGGCTCCAAGGCCCTCTTCAGCTTCAACGAGCCTGATATTGCCAGCCAGTCTAACCTGTCTCCCTCCGATGCCGCCACTTCTCACGCCCAGTTCATGAGCAAGTACGTTGGCAAGGTCCTCATCGGTGCTCCCTCCGTCTCCAACTCGGGCGCCCAGGGCCAGGGTCTCTCTTGGCTCCAGAGCTTCGTTGATGCCTGCAACGGCGTTGACGGCTGCTCGTTCGACTTCTGCAACATCCACTGGTACTCTCCCGCCTCGGCCATCGACACCCTCTTCAGCCAGATCGAGAGCGCTCACCAGGTCTGCGGTGGCAAGCCTGTCATCCTTACCGAGTTTGGCACCACTGGCAACTCTGACGCGGAGACCGCCGCTTTCCTGCAGGAGGCTCTTCCCAAGCTGGACGCTCTCGACTACCTCATGGGCTACTCTTACTTCATGGTTGGCACTGGCAGCCTGCTGTCTTCCACCACTGCCCTGAGCACCTTCGGTATCACCTACGCTACCGACTAAAGCGGCGGCTCCGAGAGCATCTTTCGCTTCTTGTACAGTACCAGCTAGGGATATCTCGATACATCTTTAGCCATTTTTTTCGGACACAAAGAGTTTTTCTTTTATCTCCGGAGGAGGAGACTATCTGAAAGTCACAGCAGACAAAACTACAGGGCATAGGGGGGGAAATAGGCGCAATCTCAATTTCTACTTGTACATATTTTCTTACCATCTGGTTCTTGGATGGCTCTCCATCCACAGTATCGGTACCACTGATTTCTTTTTCTCTCTCTTTTTTTCCTTTGATTTTTCCAACTATTGTTTTGTAAAAAAGGGGGTGCGCTCCAGATATGCTGCCATAGTCACTTTTGGTGGTCATCTCGGCCTTCCGTCCCATATTTTTTCACTTCAATATCCATGAGACAAAGGAGAGAGATGTTCACGGAAACATGAAGATGCAGCACGTGTCTACGTATTAGAATGGCGTCGCGGACAAAGACTTAGCATAGATCTACGAGCTACGAATGGAAAAAGCCAACGTCCTGCGATTGCAACTCCTTTCTGGCTCAGCCACTGTAATGACTTTGTGAATCTCGTGACTTTTGCCCTAGAGTGACGGCTTCCGTGTTCGACAAGATTCAAAACTACCCAATAATGTACCATAACGAAGAGTGTACCTAGGAGTACAGGTATCAAACAAACAAACAGCCTGCAGTCAAACTAAAAGAGCAACCTATGCAGCCTTACGCGTCTCTTTCGGATTCATTGGCTGACAGTAACAGGCATCGGCCGTGTGACCAACGTCCTCAAGCAAATGCAAACCCCCTGCCGTGATCTTGGTCTGCGGCGAGAACAACCCATCTTCCACCGCCAAACTGGACCTGCGCGGCATCAAACGGCCGCACCCACACTCCCACAAAGACTCTTTCGGCTGTCCGACAAGGCTCTTTGAACGAGATCTCGTCTCGCTCTCAATTGTCGTCGTCACCAAGACGACGCTGGACGGTTTATCGGCTGCCTTGGCGGCGTAGCTACTGTCAGGGGGGCCACTGTGATGGGGATCAACATCGTCGGTTCCCGGCGATCGACGCCTGGATGGCACGAGCGAGATGTCGGTCAGAGTGGATAGCGGCGTCTCGTGGAGCTCGCTTGGAGTGGATATGCGGTTGATCCTGGGACTGAGATCTCGGGATCGTCGAGTTTCCCCAGAGGAGGTGCTGCTCATGGTTCCGGCGTTGTCCCTTGACGTGACCCATTGGATTACAATTGCTGAAAAGAGGACTGTTGAAATTGAACAGAAAGAGTCAGTCGAGGCCACCGTACGGAGAAGACGCGGAGGGGACACACTGTCACAGTTGCAGCATATCAAGCACACCCAACCAGGCTCACCATTAAGGGCCATCAGGACGGAGAGATTGCTGCAAGCGATGGTCAGCCAGCGACTTCGACGGGGGAACATGAAATGAGCCATACACAATGCTGCTGACGAGCGTGCAGACTGCTCCGCAAAAGGTGCGGAAGGCTACCATGCGAAGACGGACATTGGCTCGCGTACGTGGCATGTTGGTGTAAGAGTAGAGCCCTATCACAGCATCAGCGCTGGTCGTTTCCGTCGCGGGACCCCATCGTGGCTCACTCTTCAGAGGTATAAGAAACATAATCGTTAGGTAGACGTTGATGACCGTATCGAAGGATATGAGAGGGACCATCGCCGCAGTTTTCATCCCGATGATGCATTCCCCGTCTTCCATGTCCGTGATACGGCTGCTTGGATGTTATTGAAGCTCTTTCGCGCCAGGCGTTTGCAGAGCTTACAAGACGAAGTTGAGTATAACGACTGCGACGTAGATGGTGAGCATGCCGAGCGAATTGACTAGGTATAATTTGGATCTCAGGCGTGGCGCTGTTGCACCGCGAATAATGTACTGGCTTGCAGAGTCAGTGTACAATCTGTCAATTGGGGTTTCCGTCCTTTGATACTGACAGCTTTTTCAGAAAGAAAGAGGTAGATGAACTGAACGTATTAACATGATTGACATGTGGCCCACGGGGGGTAACCCTTTGCTCACAATCTATCAAGAAGCATCAGATAAGCAATGAAAACACTTGGGCATTCGAACCACAGCTAGTCATCCAATCTTACCTTTGTAGTGACATAGCACACGAGGCAAAGGATGATTGCCGCTTCACAAATGCCGTAACTCGAATTGACTCCGATCGAGTGCTGGAGGACGGCAGTGGCGACGACGAAAGCGTATGAGTCGACATAAATCGCAAATACCACTTTGGTTTCAGTGTCAACACGCCGCTTCTTTGGGTAGCGAGAGGATGATTGTTGAAGAGCAAGAGACTTACACCAAACGACCGGTGGCAGTCTCTTCCAGGCTTTGATGACGAGGACTCTTTGCGCTGAGACGTCGCACGGCTGTTTAGCTTCTCCCAGCAGCACGTCGGATTCATGGTAGTTGGCAGGGCCTCACTTAGGAACAGGGTCAGAACAGTGGTCGCTGCAAGAGATAGCGTGACGCTGATGACTTGTCCAGGAAGTGGAATTGGGGCCCCTTCATGCTGTGTCGTCTTGGGGGTCATGGCCATTTGTGGCGTGAAGAAAAGTGACGCCGATGGGAATTGAATATAAAGGACCGTTAGCAGAAGATCCGCTGCTGCAGATGTAGGTTCCTGTAAATTATTCTTGTATCCAAAAAAGAAAAGAAGGCTCGTAGTATCCAGGGGATGGGCGAGAGGCGCTTGGTAGACGGGCTAGAAGCGAGTCATTCTGTACCAAGAAGAGGTGATATCAGATCTGGTTGGAATCAACAATCTGCAGCGGCGTTTGGGTGGATAGGAAGTAGATGTGCGGATACTAGTAGGATGGCGGGATTTGGAAGAGGGCGAGAATGAAGAACTCATGGTTCGGAATATGTAAGAGCAGGAGTTTGGTTGCTGGAGGTGAAGAGGCGAGGAGCTGCTACGGCTTGTCTGCAGTGGAAAGCAGGTGCAAGCCCTGGCCTCTTCTTTCTTTTTCTTTCTTAATTACTGGGAAGTGCTCAATGTCTGAGAGTCTGAAGTTACATGTGACTTTTCTTTTTCCTGGAAGAGACTGGGAGTGTGGCTACATGTAAGGGTCAAGCTCTATCGAGGTCCATCGAATGCTGCTCTTTCTCTACCTTTACTGTCACATAAGGTACATAGGCCTGGTAGCACGGGCAACATGCCATTGATATTATCAGCCGCGGCATCTTTCGTCTTATTGACGGAAAGCTCTAGAATAATTTGATACCAACCAAGGCACTTGATTAGAGATCTGTTATTCAAAGAACAGAGAAGACTGGCGTTGTATGACGGTCTCACAAAGAGGCTGAAAGGCCAGCTTCTGGTTTGCGATGGAGTTGAGCGGGTGCAACATGCTTGTATAAATGTATGTATGTAGGTAGATCTCAGCTCGCACAGAGTCTCGAAATGACCTGCAAATCCCCCATACAATACTACATGCATCGATGGAGCTTTCGTCTGCAAGTAAATAGTCTAGTCCTACGTTGCCGCACCTCGGCAGGCCATGTCCGAGACAAGGCCTCTGGGTAGATGAATAGTCGGTTTATAACACCATTCAGTCTTGAACCAGTAATTCCTGTCACGACCAACAAGACCAGCTCTCCATCCCATAGGACTCTACCTTACTTATCTATATAATCGAGGGCTGTGATGGTGGCAAAACTCTCCCCTGGCGATCTCGAAGCCACAAACCCAGCCAAGGTGACCTAAAAATAGCCCCATCTGCAGCGCCTCCAGCCACGCAATTCCAGGTTCCACTTGGCTCTCACATGCCGCGTCAACCAATGCTTTGGAATGAATCCAATCTTGATGCCCTTTTTCTTTGCAAGAGACATAGTACCTATTTCCTCTATTCCTTTCTTTCTTCTGTTAGTTTGACTCTTTTCAGTTCACTCGCTGTTGTTGTGATTTGTTTTACGTGCAATCACATGTTCTCAAGCGGCGGGGTCTAATCGGCTGCATTGCATCTTGCACGAGCAGTTCATCCCACCTGACTTCCATATCTCATCAAACCACCACCTACAAGATACCCTCAGTAGCACTACCTACCTACGTACCTTACTTGACTTCCCCTCCGCCTCCCCAGCATCGTCAACATCATCAGCAGCCTCGTCTGAAAATGGCACCATGGCAGCCTCTTGAAAGTGCTGCTTCCAGCATCCACGTCCACGCCTCACCCCAGCCTCACCACCATGCCCTCCTCGTCTCCCGCAACCTCCAGCACCCAACGCACACCCAGGCCGTCACTTTGGGCGTCATTGCGGGCTACGTCGTCGCCATTGCCATCCTCTGGAACGTGCCGTACCTGCGCATGATTCTCTGGCCATTCAAGGTATGATGATCTAGCCTCACTCGACACAGGCAACACCCAATTACATACCACCCCCATATCATCATCACACAACGACTAACACCCCGCGGCCAGATGCTCGTCATCGCCTTCCACGAGTTCGGCCACGCCATCACCGCCATCCTCACCGGCGGCCGCGTCAAGTCCATCTCCCTCGACCCCAACGAAGGCGGCGTCACCCACCTCTCGGGCGGCATCAGCGCCGTCACCCTGCCCGCCGGCTACCTGGGCTCCTCCATCATCGGCGCCCTGCTGACCATGTGCGGCTTCGACATCGTCGCCAGCAAGGTCGCCAGCATCGTCCTCGGCGTCTGCTTCCTGCTGACCCTCTGGTGGGGGAAGCGCGACTGGCTGACGGTCCTGACGGTGCTGCTGGCCGTCGGCCTGCTGGTCGGCTGCTGGTTCATCGTGCACGCCGAGGCGCTGCGCTTCGTGGTGCTCTTCATCGGCGTCATGAGCTCGCTGTACAGCGTGTGGGACATTTGCGACGACTTGATCCTCCGCAAGGTCAACGAGTCGGACGCGAGCGTCTTTGCAAAGAGATATGGCGGCTCGTCGCAGTGCTGGGGCGTCATCTGGTCCATCATTTCGGTGCTCATCATGGCGGTGGGGATTGTTGCTGGCTTGGCTGCCTTTTCGCAGTCGTTTCAGCAGCAGGAAGACGATTCCAAGCACTTTATTCCCACCTAGACTCATGGCTCTTTTTTTTTTTTTTTTCCTTTCTTTGATTTTCTACAGGAGGAACCATGACGAGAGACTGCTCAGTGTGTAAACAGGTGGTTGCGGTTAGCAGTTGCGATGATGTTATGATACCCAGCGTGAGAAACGAGTAGCCAGCCTTTTGAAGTAAAGAAACCATATACAATTGATTCAATATATATACATAAAAACGGTGCTATATACAGTAGAGAGACTGGAAAAAGAGGAGACATATATACGTATATACAAACCTACCATCAAAGTAGTCCATCGACTACTTACATACCTCCTATTCCAGTCTGAGCTCACATCCTCAACATTTTGCCATCTATGCCAACGCACTGACAACCTGCGCTTCAAAGCCACTGTTCTGATACAACTGGGACATGTCCCACATCATGGCGCCCGCAAACGTGCTGAACTGCTTCGAGTACTGGAACACAGACGAGAGCTGCGAGCCAGAGACGTACCCGCGCCCAGCGCCCGGGCCCGCGGGGATGCCCACGAGCAGCTTGACGTTGGGGTTGGGGCTCGTTTTGGCCCAGTCCTCCCACGTCTGGAAGTTGTAGTTGCTCTGCTGCGCGGCGCCGGGCGTGAAGCCGCTGACGCCGCACGGGTTGTTGTAGAACTGGATCTGGATCCAGTCCATGGGCACGGCGTTGATGAGCGCGCCGACGGCCGCGTCCGGGAAGAAGCACTGCGGCGCGGCGGAGAAATAAAACTTCTTGCCGCCGGCGGCGCCGCTGCGGCTCTTGAGCTGGGCGCCAAAGGCGGCGAGGTTGCTGGTCGTGGCCTCAAAGTCAAAGTCGAAGCCGTCGACGACGGCGCTGCCAAAGGGGCGCTCGGCCGAGGAGCCGGACTGCACGGGGCCGAACATGGCCCAGACTTGGTCGGCGGCGGCTTGGGCGGCCGAGGCCGAGGACCAGCCGCCCTGGGTGTAGGAGTCGCCGCCGAGGGAGAGGAGGATGGTTTTGCCGTTGGCCTGGCAGGTCTTGATGTCGGCTCTTTTTTTGGTTTCATGGCCAGTTAGGGGACTTTTGTATATATATGAGCAAAGGGAGGGAGAGAGAGGGACTCACTCAATCTCGGGGCAGCTCAGGAGCCAGGGGTTGTCGGAAAAGGGGGTGCATCGATCGCCGGCGTTGGCAAAGTTGGTCATGGGGGGAGTGATGCCGTTCAGGAAAGCAATGTCAATGACGTTGATATTGGCGTCTTGAGGATTTTTGTTAGCTCTCTTGCTATTTGGATTCCCCATCTCTCAAAGGGGGGATTTTTGATGATGGAGTTGCAGCGACGGCATTACCATTGCAATAGAACGAGAGGCGCTGCTGGGTGCTTTGCGAGCCGGCCGAGTTTTGTCCTGCAGCACGCAATGTCAGACGGCTGTACTTGTTCCAACAACTTCTCAAGGATTCCTTATATATATATATATACTCACCCCAGTACACGGCAATGTTCTGTTTTGAGTTGACGTTCCAGCCAGCCAGAGCCGAAGGAACAAGAGCGAGCACGCTCGCAAGAGCAACAGTCAAAGACGGCATCATGTCCAAGCAAAAGAATCGGAGGCAGTCAGATACTCCGTGACTTGGAATCTTTCTTTCTCTTTGGCGATGAGAAACAGAGTGCCACCTCGAGAGAGGGTTGGACAAAGTCCTTTTATATTCCCGTCCCTCTCTCTCCCCTCCCCTCGTTCGACATTGCCAGAACGCACATATAACGTGAGGAACAACTCCGTCGCCCAGCTGTCTTACACCAATGCTACATCAACATTGTGAGCATACGTGGCATCGAGAAAATACACATTCTTGCAATCCATCATCGGACGAAGGGGACGCCGGATGATTGCGAAACGGGGGGGTCATGAAGGGGGGACACCCGTGATGGAGCCCATGCTACCTTGGGCAGCTTCAAGAGCAAATGCAGCAAGAGGGAAACATCGGAGCAAGTCTCTCTCGCCTCGAGATCGAGCAGTAGTATATTCGGCCAAGATCATGCAAGCGGTGGTAAGTGCATATCGAGTCTGCCAGGTGACATGACATGACATGACATACATACATGGGAAGAAGACGTGCAAGGTTGGCATTGCATGCCGAGAGACCAGGTCGGTTGGTCGCCCGGTCCGAAACATTCAGGGGTTTCTGGCACTGCAATACATCAGGTGTAGGTGCTCAGCTTCAGTGGTACAACCTTTTAGAAAGGCGATGTGATGTAATGTGTCTTAAGTAGGACGAAGGCGTCGCCAGCAATCCATCAGCCGTGCTGTTGCATGGAGTAACGATGACAAGGTCCAGTGCTTGTCCTCGATGACGGCTTCAGCTGATATCTGTCTCTGTGCACAGACGAAAGAGGCAAAGACACCAGGAACAGTTGCTTGATGGCTGTGTGATTCTCACGTTGTGGGTGGCCTGGCAGATGTGATGATGACTAGAAGAGGATTTTGTCATGGGAGATGGATTCGTGGGGAAGCCTTGGATGACACCTGATTGGAGGCAGTTTTGAGGCCCATCGTGACCTTGTTGTTGTTGTTGTTCATCGTGGAGGTACAGCTAAGGTTTTTGCGGAGGAACCGGGGTGTGTGTGTGTGTGTGACGACTCTTCCTCCTCCTACCTTGTTGGGCAGTTCTCCAGATTCTGGTTCTGGCTCGAAAACCCACATGATGATGGCTTGCTACGGCATATGCACACCGTGAGGGCTCTGATTCAGGGCTCGAATGGTAACTGGCTGGATTTTTTTTTTTTTTTTTCACCGTCAGTCAGCAGCTGAGCTCGAAAACCATGCTGAGCCAAGTACTGAGATATAAAAATGGAAAGCATCCGCTACAAGCTTTGAAAGAAAGAATCATGAGAATGAGCTGCACATACACATCGTTCACCAACATGCAGTGTATGTGATCGGGCTGTCACAGCGGCCGTGGATGAGCACCCACGAGCTTGCAACTTACTACTCACATCTTTGTTCGCATCTTCTCAAGGCATTTCCACGCAGATGCACCATGACCAAGTCCGAGCCCCCCCTCTTCTGCAAACGTCTGCAACGGTAGCATAGCAGTAGAAGAAGAGCAGATACTCTACCGAGGCAGCCATAGTAAAGCTGATAACACAACAAACATGACAGAAAGAGGTCAGCTATGCTCTTCCCCACGTAACAGAGGGCAAGACAAAAGGAAAAGAATCCGGCCAGTTCGGGGGCTTGAATAAGCATCAGATGCAAGTGTACCATCGCTTTTTTTGGAGGCAAGGTTTTTGCATGAGCTTCCCGCTTCGGCATAGAAGCTTTGTTAGTAGATGGAGCGAGGCTGGATTGCCATCGACCGCCAGACCATCAATCAGGCCGACGTGATCCCTGCAGAAATCGCTTGCCGCAGGGATGACTCTGCTCTTGCTTCCCACAGCCGAACAAAGAAGGTTATTTGATTGCGTTGGAGCTTTGACTTTGACCGGGCATCTTAAATTCAGATACTTGTACGTAGCATGTTGAGGCCGTCGGCTGCCATCGGCACTCGCGTTAGATGAAGCTTGCATATGTATATGATGTACATACAGGTAGGCAAACAAACTCAACAACGTGATCGTATCCTCAGATCTTGCTGATATAATCCAACTGTTCTGATGTCTCATGTCCACCATGAGGCAAAACAGCAATCTGAAGCCATCGAGTTCCTACAGCCACCACTCCCCCAACGATCCATATCCCACCAACCAGGGCACATCTCCATGAGCGAAAGGACAACAACCAGCACATTGTTTTCTGTTGAAACCCCCTCCCCTCAAGCCCCATCACTGCAGGCGTTCCTTGCATCTGCCATCTTCCCTCCCTCTAGCCTCTTGGCAGGGCCATACAAGACCGGCCGCCCTCCTCTCTTAGGCAGTTCGAGCCTCGAAGCTCCAAACTAGGCTCGGTGGCTGCCACAGGCTAGGTAACGTTACCTGATGCCAATGTCGGGCTACACACAGGTATTCTTTGTTCAATTCAGGTAGACGAGTAGAAATGCTATCTTCTCATTATCAATGGCAAGACCCAAAAGGGTGTATATTCACATACATACATGCCCTGTATGTAGGGTACCAACCCATATCCTCGTCGAAGCCACGTGCCTCCAAATCATCCATTATCGTGATAAAAGGGTAGCAGCGGGGTGCTCTGCTGCCGTTGTCCCTCTGATATCGCTCCCAACGGCGCTGTCCTCAAAGATAATGTCCATATGGGAGGTGTGACTTGTGTTTGCTATTTCAAGATAGCCCACGGTCTCGATGTCTTTCAAGGATCCTGCGTTGTGTCGTACCGGATAAGGTAGCCCAGCCCAATCATGCAGGCGACCAATCTCTCATGGCGGCTAGCCGTACCTCTCTATTCCAGCTCTTGGCGTCCGTAATGGCAGACGGCATTCAATGACAATGATCAGTCTTCGGCCGTACATTGGGACCCAACATCTCTCACGCTTAGACACGCCCCGTCTCCAGAAGCCAGGCCCTCGACGCCACTTATTCAGCTCCGCATGTCCCGCGCTCGTCGTCAGTTCAGCACCCTTCGAAACCGATGATATCGGGGCCACTACCATCGGCCACGGCGTCCACGGCCGCCAAATCCACCTCTTCCACCGCCACCTCCGGCCATGCCCTGATCATAGCCGAAGCCGCCCTGGTTCCCGCCGAAGCCGCCGCCAAAGTTCTGCCCCTGGCCCCCTTGCGCGCCCGCGTTCCCGCCGGCGCCTTGCATCCCGGAGAACATGGCCGCCATCTGGCTCGGGTCCATCTGCGAGGGGTCCATGCCCGAAGCCATCATCTGCTGCATCATGGCCTGCATCTCCGGGGGAATCCCATCCATGCCCGGCATGCCGCCGGCAGCACCGCCGGCGCCTGCTCCAGCGCCTGCTGCGCCCTGCATGCCCATGCCGCCCATCATCATCATGTTGAACTCCTCCATCATCTTCTTGTTGTTGGCAGCAAACACATCGGCGCCGAACTCGCCACGGATAGACTCTTGCTTGGCGGCGTAGAGCGCCCATGTGAACTCGTCGAAACCGTAGTTGAAGTAGTCGCTGATGTCAGTGCCAGGCTTGCGCCACGGTTTGTCGTTGTCTGGTAGATCTTGATGGAACGATTTCGTTAGTTGGCCGTGTTCCCTAGGGATACCGCTTGAAGTGATTTACCTTCGTCAATATTGACCTGCGTTATGGGCTTGCCTGCCGCAGGGTAGACTGGATTGGCATTGATGTCGATTGTTGATTTCGAGGCCGCGGCTGACGTCTGGTCCGCGCTGGGGGCGGCAATGTTGAGGGCGCTCGTCGGTTTGGAGTCCTCGTCCCTCTTGACCGGTGCTGAGGGCTTGGCCGAGACGTCGTTGGAGGCTGACCGCTGGGGGATATTCCTGATGTCGCTGTACTTCGTCTGCCTGTTGTCGCGCATCACCTAGTAGTCAGCTTCAAGTAGAGTACACGCGCGACGTGGCATCGCATCAGAGCGTCATGGTCGACATACGGTGGCGGCGCTGCCTTTGTGCCGTCTTTTCGTTCTGTGATGATGTCTATATCCTGCAGACCGCGAATTAGCGGGGGGGGCTTGTGGCTTGTGTCGAAGACGTCGTCATCGTACTGAGTCGTCTTCGTCGTCATCTTCGTCCATGGCGCCGCTCTCGTCTTCTTCCTCGCCCTCCTCTAGCTCTTCCACCTTGTGCTTCTTGTCCTCTTCTGGCTCGACCTTGGGCTCCTCTGGCTGATAGAGATCGTCATCCTCGTCCATGTCCATTGTGGCGGCAGATAAGAGTGTGAGCACGGGTTCAAGATGGTAAACTGAGTTCAATTGAATAATCAATGTCGAAGAAGTCAGCACGTCGAATGTCGCAATGGTGAAGCTCGGGGAAGCTCTTCTGCAGGCGTAAGATCAACTACGGCTAGCCTTGTCTATCCCGAATCCTCTTATCGTGCTGCAGCATCGCAGCCGCCGGGGTTTATCCGCATCCCTTCACCTCTCAGACCCGCTCGATTCCCCCCCAAACAAAGCTCTGGCACAGATACATACGATCCAGACAAGCTGAACGAGCTCCACACGAATTGGGCCCTTGACTCGCTCCCGGAAAAAGGGCTGTTTTTTTTTTTTTTTTCTCGGATTTTTCCCTGGTTCCTCAGGTGCTGGTTCCTCATGTCTCTGGCGCGGTCTGCCAGCGGCCCAGCGGGTCTCAGCATCAACACTTCGGCGGCCAATACCCTGTAAGCTCTGCTAAATCTTTCAACAGCCCACGCAACTGAACTTCGTGATATCACCGACTTCTGCCCTGCACCGCCGTCTCTCAGCTCTTCAACGCCTCTCACCCTATTCCAATCAGCTGCGGATAACTCAGCCGTTCTTTCATTCGGCTCCCCTTCTGTCATTGTAGCTGACTAAAACGCGCCAAACACAGAGGCACGACCTCGCAGCCAGCGGCGACTCGACCATCTCTGTTTGGCTCTGGCAACGCGTCGGCAAGCCCATCAACGACGAGCAACATGGCGACCACCGGCGGCCTCTTTGGCGCCAAGCCAGCAGGCACAGGCCTCTTTGGCTCTCCCGCCACGCCGACGCCGCAGGCAAGCACCGGCGGAGGTCTCTTTGGCGCTGCTGCGAACACGGCCGCCAACACATCCTCGACCACAGGCACAACGGGCGGCGGCTTGTTTGGGTCGACAACACCTGCTCAACCGGCCTCTGGCGGACTCTTTGGGGCCAAGCCTGCAGCGACAATGACGACAACGCCGGCAGCAACTGGAGGTGGCTTGTTTGGCAACACTGCGGGCACCCAGCAGACGACAACTGGCGGAGGACTGTTTGGAAACACCAGTACAGCTCAGCCAAGCACGGGAACGACTGGCGGTGGCTTGTTCGGAGGTGCCGCGACGACCCAGCAGCAGCAGCAGCAGCAGCAGCAGCCAGCTAGCGGAGGGCTGTTTGGAAACACTGCGAGCACCCAGCAGACTGGAGGAGGGCTCTTTGGCTCGACCCCTGCATCAACTACAACCGGAGGAGGATTGCTAGGTCAAACACAAACACAGAACAAGCCCGCTGGCGGTCTCTTGTACGCAATGCCTTTCCTGATCTACCCTAAATACCGTTTCATACCGAGTGCTGACTCTCAATTGTAGTGGAGCAACCACAGCCCAGACAGCCCCGGCCACCACACAGACTGCGGCCGTCCAGATCAACTACGACAACCTGCGGCCGCGGTCGCGCTTCGACGACCTCGCCCAGCCGATCCAGAACGAGATCGCCCTCATCGACAAGGGCATCCAGCGCGTCATCAAGATGAGGGATGAGATAGGGGAATTCATGCCTCAGCACGAAAAGGACATTGACCAGCTCGGGCGCGACGTGCAGTTCGTCGAGTCCAAGTTCAAGACGGTCCAGGACGCCCTCAACCGCGACATCCTCACCGTCAAGGCGCTGCAGGACATGACCAAGAAGGACGTGGCCGACGCGCAGCTCTCCTTCAAGGCGGCCGACAACCTCAAGCTGCCGACGCACTACCACCAGACGGGCCTCTTCGCCGGCCCGCCCCCCCCCGGCGGCGGCGGCGCCGACGCCAGCTCGTCCGACGCCTCGTCGGCGCACGCCAGCGCTCAGGATCTCATTACTTATTTTAACCGCATCTGCGATGACGTCGAGAAGTACAAGAAGCGCCTGGACGAGTACCGGTCGCAGATCGAGCGCGACATGCCCGGGGTGGAGAACGGGCTGTACGAGCAGATCCGCAGCCTGCGCGACAGCAGCAGCAGCGCGCCCGTGCAGGACCAGCTCGGCCAGGTGCTCGCCGCGCTGCGCGAGATGGGCAGCGCCATTGTCGCGCAGGCGGCGCAGATTGCGGACACGCGGGAGAGGCTGTCGCGGCTGCAGTCGGGCTTCTTGGATAACGGGCTGTACTCTGGCGTTGTTTCATGATTTCGGACGTGAAGGTTTTTTCTTTTGGTATGGGGGCTGGGAATTGACATCTTTTTGATTCTCTTCAATGTAAAAGGGAGATGCGTATGTGTGTGTTTGCTTTTTGGGTTGATTTGTTAGGTGGCGCTTGCTGTACAGAGAGCCCCTTTTGCGGCTAAGCATGGCATATGACAGGATGCCTTGATTTCCTACTCAGTCGTCGTGGTCTGGAAGTTGGATGACCATAGGAAGGCAGTGGTAGCCGAAGAGCATCGAGACTTGCGGAATGCAGGGCCAATTGGGCCCTCTGATAATGTGAAACACGGCAGTTCAAAGAGAAGTCTTCTGTCTGTGACAAACGTCGTCGTAAGCTGTGACTCATTCTTTGGAGGCCACGAAGCCCAAGCGAAGGGTATAAAGAAGCGCGTGTATATACATGTATAGGCGGAAAGGTAAGGTAAGGTAGTATGAACGAAAATGCTGAAATGATGGCTTTTTTTTTGCCCTCCAAGATCTCGTTCCATTGCCAAGGGCGCTTTTGGTAATGGGGGAAACAAAATAAGACAGAAAAGCAGTAAGAAGGCGTTCCTCTCTGCCGAGTCAAGATGTCAATATGTCCCTTCACCATCGTCTCCATCCCCATAGTCATCGCCGCCCTCATCGCCATTGTCAAAGTACGTCTCGGCATCGTAGTCGCCCGCATCCTCATCGTCATACACCTCATCCTCCTCCTCCTCCTCCAGCCCTTCATCGTCGTCCAGATCCGCCGCCGCGTCATCCCCCTCGTCGTCCCGCAGCGCATCCAGCCTCTCCAGGATATTCTTCCCGTCCACCGGCACGCCGGCGCCCTCGTCGTCGTAGGTCAGCAGCTCGCCCTCGATGGCGGGCATGCCAAAGGCCTCCTCGGCGTTGGGCAGCGCGCTGACCCTGCTGAGCTCGAGGCGGCGCCTCTTGCGCGCGCCGCTCGCGTCCGCGGCGTCGATGGTGTCGAGCAGCTCCGCGGGGAACATCTCGCGGCAGACGGGGCGGGCGGACCACTCGGGCAGGGCGCGCTCCGGGCGGGCGAAGCGCTGGGAGTAGGTGGGCATGGCGACGAAGGGGTCGATCGAGGCCTTGCTGCGGACGTCGTACAGGGCGTTCATCTGCTCGCGGCCGTAGATCTTGCGCGGCGCCGTGGGGTCGATGAGGGAGGTGCGCTTGGAGGTGTAGAGGGGCGACGAGTGGATTTGGTGCCGCAGGAGGAGGAAGCATTGGACGCCGTTGTATTCGGTCGCGGTGAGGTCGCGAGGCGTGGGAACCACTCGAGGCTGGGGGAACAAAGAGGGCTTGTTAGTTCTGTCTTCTGGTACCCATTGGACGCTGTCGACTCACGGGGAACAGCTCAGAGGGCCGGGCATCGGGCTCGTCTGTGTCGTCCCAGGGCAGCGCTGGCCGTCCTCCTCTGCCTCCGCCCCGGCCTCCGCGACCTCCTCCTCGAGCACCACCTCCACCACCTCTTCCTGACATTTCAGCTCGGCTCGAATCCCGCCTCTATCGCTCCCAATTCTCCAGTCGAACGCCGCTTCCAGAAGTATATAATCGTTGATTCCAGCTGGAAGAATAGAAAAGGAAGCGCTGCAACTGGGCTTCAACAGCTGCTGCCCGAGTACAGGCGAACGTGCTATAAGCTTGGGGGGTTTTTTGCAGGAGACAAAAAGAATGGCCGGAATTTAATGGGACTCGAATTGACGGAAAGCGCCAAACTTGTACAGCGACAAGGTTGGAAAAAAAGTGATGGTGGGGAGCGGAATTCCCTCCGCTACTATGACGCTGCCCCGCCCTGCCTGGACGCTTTGGCTTGCTTGCTATAACTTCCTTGACTGTCTTGTCTTCAAGTTGCCGTCAGCGCATCTGCCTGCCAACGTTTGACAGCTCAACTTACCCTGAATATTATATATAACAAGAAAGTGTCCTTGTTCAGGCTTTCTGGAGTCGCACATATTCCACTCAGAAAAGGAAACTATTTGGCAGACCCTTCAATATAGACAAGACGGTCTCTGTCCACGGCCCATCAAGATGTCTGATCGAGTCATTCCCAACGGCTCTTCAGACAGCCATCCCATCTCCGGCCTCGAGGACTTCCAGACTCACCTCCAGCATCTCGAAAACGATCCCTCTCAGCCCTTCAACCTCAAGCTCCTCGACGACATCGAGCTCCAGCTAACAGGTACCAAGCCCTCACTCTCCAAACTCACCAAAACCAGTTCCCAAAGTACTAACACAAAACCCCCTCCCCCTAGAATCAAACATCCCCCCCCTCCTCCCAACCGTCCTCCCCCCCCTCACCCAGATCCTCAAAACCACATCCCAGGACCCCTCCCCCCTCCTCTCCCTCACAATCAAGCTCCTGTCCCCCCTGACATTCACCCGCACCCTCACCATCGCCGACCCCCCCTCCCTCCTCGCGGCCCTCGCCTCGCCCCTGCCCGGCGCCAACCTCCTCGCCCTCGCCATCATCCACAAGGCCGCCAAGACGCCCACCGAGGCCGCCCTCCTGAGCACCCTCCCCGACGTCGTCGACGCCCTCGTCACGCGCTGGCTCGACAGCCCAGACGTCGGCGTCGGCGAGCGCGCCGCCAAGGTCCTCGGCGACCTCTTGGAGACGGACTGCGAAATCATCCGCGAGCCGCCACCACCACCACCAACAACAGCAAGCAGCAACAACCACAATGGCAACAACAACAGACGGCGCAGCATCCCCGGCCACGGACGCCTCTGGCGCCTGATCCTCCTCCAGCGGCCCATGCTCGAACGCATCATCACACTATGCTCCCCCGAAACAGCTCACCCGCCCACCAGACCGCGACACCAAACGTCCCTCTCCCAAGGCCGCCTCCTGCGCCTCCTCACACGCCTCGCAACGCTCAACATCCGCGCCATAAGCCAGACGTCCTTCCCGGAGCTGTTCCCCCCCTTGCCTTCAGACGTCGCCGCGCAGGCCCTGGGGGGCCCGGGACTCCTGCAGTGGGCCGCGCTGAGCATGGTCTCCAAGACGGACGACGTCCTCATGCACCTCAACCTGATTGACTTCTTCGAGACGTTTGTCAGCCTCATGCGCGTCGCTGCGCTCGATGCCGAGGAGAAGAGCATCGTCAGGACGCTGGTCAGGGTGGCCGCTGCCGAGGATGGGCAGTTGACCGAGGCGCTGAGGGGGTTGCCGAATAGGACGGTGGAGGACGAGGCTGAGCCTTTGCGCGCGTACATTAGCGAGATACTGGGCTGAAGAAAAATCGAGGTCAGATCTTGTTGTGCCTATCCAGAAGTAGATTGTCTATTAGAATGCCCGAGCAGCAGCGATACATGTCTTGTAGGATTAGCCTGTAATAATAGGAGCTGGCACGAGATGGACTCTTTGTACTGCATGAGAGGAGAAATATAACATGTCATAGCATTATAACGTTCTTTTAGAGTCCTGCATAACAGGACGGTCATACCTTTCCTCAAGACATACACACGCAAATGGTGCCTTTTTTGTTCTGAAAGAAGAAAATGGAACGAAAACCCTTCTAGAAACCCGCCTCAACGCCAAAGATATCATCCTTCCAGGCCATGACCCCTGGAACCGGCTCTCACAGCATCTTCCGTGCCGCAGCCTCCGACGACCCGCCCGCAGCCTCCTCAGCATTGGTGCTGGTCGTGCTGTCCCGCCTCTTGTCCCCGGCCCTCGCCATGCCCTCGATCCCGAGCGAAACCTCGCCCACCCTCCGCAGCACCCCAAGCAGCGCGCCGCGCAGGTCCGCCGTCAAGTCCTTCTGCAGCAGATCAATGGCCAGCGGGTAGAACGAGGGCAGGTGGGCCTTGAAGGCCTCCTCCGGGAACGTGGCAAATCCCTCCAGCACGTCGACGACGACTGGCCTCCAGGCAATGATGTTCCTCTGCTGGCTCTCTTCCGCGAGCAGCGAGTAGCCCGTGATGATGTCCTCGCACAGCGGCACGAGGGCGGCCTCAATGTCGGGTCTGCTCTTCAGTCGCTCCGGCGCGTCGTCCACGAACATCCTGAAGAGGATCGACACGTACGTCGCCGCAGCACCGCTTTCTTGCTTCAACAGGTTGGGAGGCTGTTTCATAAAGCCCTCGCGCCAGAGCTTCATCCGAAGCTCCTTATCTTCGTTGAAACGGCGTGCGAACTGGAAGGACCGCTTGAGGAGAGCCATGAGTCGCAGAAGCTCAGCGGAGGGGATGTTGGCGTAGACGGTGTCGTTGCTGAAGAGCTCGTTGACCGTCTCGATCATCAGCAGCTGTAGGACGCAGCGAGAAATGATGCGGTTGAAGAACCGCCGGCGGGCTGCAGTCACCACGACAGGCTGCTGCTGAAGAGTGGAAGACGGCTTGAACTCCTCCAGCGGCTGCCCGTTGGTATTTGCCGTCGGCGTCCGCGACTCGTCGTCGTCAAGCTTGTGCAATGTCGGATGATGGATAGATTCGGTATCGGAGGCAGCGCTATGATCATCGCCGCCGTTGATCTTGAGGGACTTTTCATCACCGGCAGGGGCTTCGCCAGTGGTTGGGCTGAGGGGTGAAGTAAACTCCAGCCCGTTGGATGACGACAGTGCCAAAGCGGCAGAAGCCTCCATGTTTGCTGCGGTAAAGAGCTGATACGCCGTTGTCCGGTCGAATAGTTCGCAAAACGCCCCGACAATCTTGTTCCAATGCACCTGGTTGAACTTGGTCACGTTCTTCAGTATCAACTGCTGCAAACAATTGCTACCAATCCGAGAGATGGTATCGTTTTCTTGGCAAATGCAAAGGGCCAGCAGCTCCAGGAATCTGTCCAGCATGTACTCGAGGGCGTCGAAGTAGTGCGTGAATAGCGTAATCATGTTGCGCAGGGCTTGAATCATCGTGGTCGACAACCACACAGAGAGCTCTTCGTGATTCAAGACATTGGTCATCTCTGGCCGCGAACGCAACACCATGAAGATGGGATACAGCTGCTGTCTCCAGAGAATATCCCAGAAGGCCTGGGTGAAGCCGCCTCCGTACTTGAGCAGTGCGGCAAAGAAGTACTCTAGAGCGTTGGAACGGACCTCGAGGTCTTCGCCAGTCATCAGTACATCGTGGAAGGCAAAGAGCACGGGGAACCAGTAACCCTCTTCCAACGATGTCTTTGTCTGCACCTTCTTGTTGACGCCTGGAGCGGGTTCCACGGCACCGTTTTCGGCATTGGTCGACGCCACACTTGACAGCGGGCATTCTGGAGTCTTGAGCATTGTCGGAATGATGGACTTGAGCAGCTCCAGAGCACCAAGGCTCTTTTTCTGAAACTTGAGGTTCTTTGAAAATTCCGTCAGGCAGACAATGAGGTCCGTAAACGCTCCCTGAGAGATGACGACGCCGAACTTCTCCTTGTAGACCTGGTTGACGTTTTCGTATGCAAGGTTGACAATGCTCTCGTACGGCTCCCGGGCAGCAACGGTGAAGACGCCAAACATGGTCCTCCAGCCGGAGCGGATCATGTCGCCTCGGGCCTGAATCATCTGGATGAGGCAGCGCAGCACCATGTCTTTGACGGTGATGTTGTGCGAGTTGGACAAGACGTGCTCAAAGGGCTTGAGGAAATCCTTCTGAAACTTGAAACCCGCAAGCTCTTCGATCTCCATGAACCGCATGGACAGCTGACGCAATGAATCCAAAGCAAAGAAGACAATGTTCATGTTGTTGTGGCAGCCAACCTGGTTGAAGTGCTCGCCGAGAACGACCCAGATATTGCTCCATTCGAATCTCACACGGTTCATGTTGTAGTAGCTGATCTCGACAATCTTTTGCAGACTGTACGTGCGAGGAGAGTCGTTGGAGCCAGAGACCTTGATCTCGTCCCAGCTCACCTCGGTCAGGGCTTTGGCAAAGTACACCATGGCCTCACCCGAGAGGTTGGCCGTGTTGGAGAAGATTCGGTCGACGCTTCGGACAAGCTCATCCGAGCGGCTCTCGAGAGCAATCTCGTTGGAGAAGCCTCGCGGGCCAGTAGCAGACCTCTGTCGCGGCCGGGATTTCAGCTGCATGGACGAGCGAGAGTCCGATGTCCCAGCGCGCGAGGGGGGGATAAAGCGCGCCTGAGAAACGTCTGGGATGGCGCTCTCGTCAACGCCGCCGGAGATGAGCTGCAGTCTATCCAGTTGGCTGATGCACATGAGAATGTCTTTCCACGACTCTTGGAGGACGTTGCCCTCCGTCTGAGCGATGTCGAGGATCACTTTGAGCGCCTCAATGTTCTTGGCCTGCATCTCCTGCGGGTTATTCAGGTTGGTGGCATTGCGGAGTGCGGAAATGAACGCCTCACGAGGCGTTGACTGATGGAAGAGGCAAGCGATCCGGGTCGCCAGCCGCATGCCCTCCAAGCACAGCTTATTCACTTCGAGATTGTGTGCCTTTTGCATTTGGCCCGAGAGCGCCGAGAAGATGGACATCCAGGTGATGTCAAACATGGCCTCCACGTGCTTAAAGGACGTTGCTTCGATATACTTGGGTGCCATCTTGGAGGCGTTTCGGCGCTGGCTCTTGAACAGGTTCTTGAAGAGCTGTTCCGAACGCAGCGCAATCTCTTCCGACTGCTGCATGTAAGCCTCTCGCTGCAAGTCGCGCCCGACATTGGAGAAGGCCTGTCCCAAGCCTGCGGCCAGGCCACTCGGCTGGGTGGGGAGGTTGCCCTGGGCGGCTGCAATGTCGCGCTCGCTCTTTAGGACGATCTCATTGTTGGCGATCTCCTCGTAGATGGAGATTTGATAGTCATGAGGCAAGTCGGCATTGTCGTTGATGCCCGCATTGTTCCGGATAAACTCCTCCTTGGTCATCCTCTTGGCGATCTTGCTGCTGTGCAAGTCTGTGTTGAGCAGGATGACAGAGTACGCCAGCACGTATGCCGTATCAGCGTTGGCAAAGGCATTGGGGTTGCCCAGTACATAGCGTTCAGCAAACTTGAGCATGAATCGATCGATTTTCTGCGCTTCTCCCGGTAGACGGAACGACTGCAGGAATTGACGGAGAGCATCGACGAATCGCTTCTTGGTGAAGTCCATGGAGTCGACAAACGCGTGCATGGTCTCAATGTTCTTTGGATCTCCCTCGCCAAGATACTCGCCAATCTGAGCCTTGTCTAGCTTGTCCTCATTCAACAAGAACGTCGCGATATCCTTGGGGCTGTCGCTCGGGATGAAGCCATCGCGGATCAGTAGCTCAATGCCCTTCTTGGGCTTGAAGTTGAATTGCCTAATGTCCTTCATCAGAGCCGTTTTCCTAGCCTTTTCCTTGCTCAGATAATCCGGGTCGTCCTCTAATATTGGGGTCGAAGGCGGCAGAGGCGTGTCGAGCCGGGATGCACTCTCGCTTGTGGGGTCGATAGACGGCCGCAGCTCATCAAAGGTGGCCCTAGTATCGCCATCCGGACGGGCAATCTCACTGTCTGAGCGCATGGGGGCGGACCAGTTGACTAAGGAGCGGAGTGTCTCGACGAGGGCTTCTAGCGATAGCCGTTTGATTGCATATTCCTTGGGATAGTCGGGCTCATTCTCCTGATGCGGGGCGATATGCGCAACCGTCAGTGAAGGAGGCAAGATGCCCTTGAGCTGCCACTCGCTGGCGGGCGCGGTTTTCGCCCTATACTCTTCGTATGCCTGCTCGTGGATCGATGTAATCGTGACCGGTGCCGTCGCGAATTTTGATAAGTCTTCAATGACGGTCTGGAAGATGTTCTCTACCGACTGATCGCAGTCGTAGTTGAGATAGGTTTCCACCAAGGCTCGAGGGTCGGCGCAGAGGCGGTTCAGGATGGAAACGAAGTACAGCTTTTGCGTCAGGGGGGCGTTCTTTTGGGACAAGAGGGCCAGGTAAATCTCGTTGAGAATGACCTCAATCTCTTTCTAGAATGGAGAATCAGCCTTCTGATACACAATGGCAGGGACGTCTTTCGACAACGACGACCAGGGACAAAGAGGGGTCTGGCCTACCTTGAATGAGGGGCGCATGTACTTGAGCATGAGCCAGAAGATCTCACAGCAAATGTCAAATATTCTGTCCACCGAGCTGGCTCCGTTGCGCGTGATACTAAGGCAAAGATAGAATTTAATGGCTTGAAGAAAGGTAGTGGGCTCATTGCTCTTGGAGCTCGTGATGGTACAGAGGGGCGATGTGAAGACGGCGATGTTGTTATTAAGGAGGGTGTGGATGAGATGTAGAGAGACCAGCTTGGAGCGCATCGGCTGGCCGCGCATGTCGAAGAGCTGGTCGGGCGGCAGAACCTTGGTGGACAGGTTGCAGAAGGATCGGAAGACGAGGTAGGCGTCTCGGATGTAGACCTCGTCCTCGGCATCCAGCGCATCGCTGTCTTCCTGCGGGCCAGACTGCCCCGAGACGGACGCGTCACTCTCGTCTTTCTTGTCCGACTTGAGCCGTGTGACCATGGTCGGCCCATCGCCGAGCGTGGAATCGTCGAAGCTCTTGCGGTGCTCCAGGTCCTTGAGCGTGAGCTTGGCGGCATTGGCCGGCTCTTCCGGAGGAGCATCGGTGTTGTCAGGCGGCGCCGGTGAAGCCTCGTCATTGTCGTCGCTGTGCTGGGTGCCATTGGCGATTTCGGACTGGTCAAAGGTGACATTGCTTGCGCCGTGGTTGAGGTTGTTGAGGCTCAGTCTGGCCTCCTTCATGTGTAGCCTGGTTTTGACTCGCTCGAAGACGGTGCCGACCATCTGGGTGAGAGTGCCCTGCGCAACCTGCTGATTGGCCGTGCTCCGAGAGAGCAAAAAGACATTGTAGACCTGGCGCACAGCCTTGAGCAGGCCCGCGCCGTGAACCACTATCTTGTCGTTCAGGACGGCTGCCAAAAGCGACTTGACAATCTGTAGCTGGATCTCGACGGCGGTGGTCTCGCCTTGGAAGCAGTCGCAAATGGTATCGATGGCTCGCTCGATCAGTGGGGGCGCCGGCTCGGCGCCTTCTTTGGGTGCGTCATCCTTGGAGGGCAGCGAGAAGTACGAGTAGGATATCAGCTTTCCAATGCAGTCGAGGGCCGTTGTTGTGAGCTGCGGGCTGTTGGTCTTGGTCGCAAGCTGCAGAGGCGCGAAGACGATCTCGGGATCAGGCAGCTGGTCCTGCTCTTTGATGGCGTCCAGGGCTGTCTTGGTCAAGTCGGCCAGCTGCTTGTTGCGCTGGGCATCTTTGGAGGTGGCAATGGCGTCCAGAGAGGACACGACGAACTTGAGGGAGCTCATGAGGCGGACCGGGGGCGGGACAGGACAGACAATCGCCGGGGGAGAGACGCGGGAAGTTAGGGACCTTGGGCGTGGTCCATCGATTGCGTCTGCTGGTGCGGTTCGGAGGCAGGGCGAGTGCGAGGGCGAGGGCGAGGACGTGGACCACGGAGGACAGGCGGGGAGGAGGACCTCGCGGCGGAGTTGACAGGCGCACGGCTGGTCCCACGGCTGGGAGACGAGGAGTGAATGGCCGCGATGCTGGTGGTGATGGGGGACGAGTGGTTGATGTTCTCAAGGGGACAGCATTTCCAATAGCAAGAGGGAGCCGGGCGGGACCCGTTACGCCGCCTTAGCCTCTCCAGTTAGCGGGCTGTTTTGCTAGCTGGCAGTTTGACTAGCAAGCAGTCAATGGAGTCCCAGTGCCTGAGAGAGCCACCTAGGAATACGTACCACGATTGGCAAGCAGAGAAACGCGTCCTGCTGATCCTCATGGCCGAGGTACAGAGTACTCGAGGCATTTCCGCACTCGTTGCCGTCAGTCGCGGGAGGTGCCGTGAGACGAGCCCTTGGTTCCAGGTAGTCGGTACCTTTTTATTCGTCGTCGTTATTGAACGGCAAGCCACCCCAATTCAAGCCACAGGTGGGAGACTCAGGGTCCTAGTTGAGGCTGAGGAGAGTTGAAGCATTTGGAGCTTTGTCGACTATTCAATCTTTCCCATCTCCTCAAGGTAGAAGTTGGTATTTGCGACCTCTCATTCGTTCTTCTAAGGCCGACAGGTGCAGTGGGTGTCGCGTTTTGGGTTTGTGCCATTCGATATTCCTACAATCTGCATCTGAATATATATGCCCGCATCAGCAGTAATTTCCCCCATCTAGAGATACCAAAATATGCCAGCGCCTCTGCCTATAGAATGCATGCTACCTTATGTTACGTCTTCATCTCTTCTTGTTGAGGGTAAGAAACTGCTACAATTCAGGCTACTCACCAGCCACGAGATATTTCAGGGACACAACACAATACGAAGCACTTTGCCGCTTATATACGGCAATCACTTGACCGCAGTAATTGGCGCAATACGGCTGCGAACTGGATGGAATCGACCCCGTGTTCCGTAGGTCAAGCCCTCGGATCCATCATTGTGCCTTTTCAAAGCAAATGCGCCCGCTCAAGTCTAGCTGACGGAATAATGCGGTGACATATCGAGGCTTCGTCTTCATCCGGTTACAGCGGTCTTTAGGTCATCACCTGCAAGTTGTGTTGCTAGATAAGCGGCGCTGGAGCCGTGCTATAAAAGCGATGCCCCTCCGGATGGGTGCCGAAGGCGGAATGGGGCAACGACAAAGTCTAGAGATGGAATTTCGCCAAGTAAGCTCTGTGTCTCGTTGTCTTGGCTAATGCACACCTATGATTCAAAGGGTTTGAATTCGCGGTACAGAGAGAGGAAGAAGGTATATGGATGCCTCAGTAAGTCTTCTGTCGCTGGACCGGCCAAGTCCCACCTGTCCCGTCTGTGCCGTAGATGCGGACTCCGGGTGCAAAGATGCGTAATCCCGTCGAGCTGCCAATCAGAAGCTCTTCCGCAACTGGAACACCGAATGCGCGAGAGTTGAGGCAGAGCTATGGGCGTATCATAGCAATGTGCTGGGCTACTGTACATAGTCTAGTAAGAGCGGTGGCTTGCTTACCATCTTCCTCAGCCGTCTGGAGAGGTGGGTTCGTGGTGGCTCTGCTTCATTCGAAACGGAATGCTCTTGAGCAGATGAGTAGGCAGATTCCATTATATAAACGCCTTGTTTCCAAAGCTGTGGCACTTAATCCGACATCTGGTCCAATCAATTCCAAATGCATCCATCACGGTGCCTGTCTCTCTCATGCCTGGGGTTGATCCAAATGCTCGCTCGCATGACGGGCAACACCGCTAAAGCAGGCAAAGTCTATTCGGCGGGCTTCCAACAAATGGGCAGCGAGTTGACCCGCCCGCCAGCACTGCAAACAGCCACTCGAGCGTATTCCGTTGACTTTGTGCTAAGCCGCAGTCCGCTGGAGCTACTTTCCGCCGCCCCGGACGAGGCGGGCCATCAATCCGTCCATGGCTGAATCGCAGAAGAGGCATGGCTGCGAAGCGACGCAAAAGATTCAAAGCCGTCTCACGTCCCCTCTTCCATTCCGTGCCGCATGTCCAACGCCAGAATCGACAACTCCAAATCAGGTCGCATCGCCATCGCCGTCTCTCTCTCTGCGCTTGCATCCCGTCGCCGCCTTCGCTCTTGACAGAATCGAGGCGGATCTTGTTGGGGCTGCGCCTGTTGCGTCGCCAGATGCGCCGGGACGTCGAGCGAGGCGACTGATGCCCGCCTGCTTCGGAGCAAAAGAAAGCTCCCGACGTCGCTGTCAAGAGCTGGACTGCAAGTAGATTTGCATCGATTTCGCATCACCAAACCGGCGACTCTCTCTCCCTCTCTCTCTCTCTTTCTGCATACCAAAAGTAGCTGCTCGAATTCCCACGCGCAGCTTCTCGAACAAACAGCACAAGACAACGACCATCACGACATCATAGCAGACCCGCCACCTTCAACCAACATCGACCGTCGCAAAGCTCGAACTACGCACCAGACCATCGCTACATAGATAGATAGCACTTGCGTCTACATCCATCGTACGTGCACGCGCAAGATGCGTCCAACCATACCCGCCGTTCTCGGCCTCTTGGGCGTCGCCGCCGCTGCCACCGACAACGTCTCAACCACGCCTCAAACCGACGTCCCTCCCGACTGGGCCACCAACAATGCGCTGCAGATGAACCTGTCGGCACCCAACGGGCAGGCAGACCCCATCCAATACACCGTCATTCCTGTCATTCCGAACGCTGGTCCGAACCAGTCAAGTAACCCTTCTCAGGTATGCATGGCAGGACAACAAGGTTGACATGACCCGAATGCTGACGAGCAGACAAAAGCCCATCAACATCACCGGCGACATGATTGCTACCGACGTGTCCAACTTTAACAAGGTCACAAAGCCCAACGATGTCGCATATATGTCGTGCGACCGTCCTTCGTCAGATACCTTCATCAGCACCGATGAGATGCTCAACGACATCATTGCTCAAGGCCCCAAGGCCATCGTCCTCTACTCGCTTGCCAGCACATGGTGCAGTCTCGATTTCGGGAGCCCGCCGGCCTTTTCCAACATCCTCTCCATGGCCGACAGCGGCGAAGCCCAGGGGGTCTTGAACTCTCTCAACGGCACTGCTACCGGGCGGCTGGTCAATGTTTCCATCACGGGAAACGCATCAAGTGATGGCTCTGGCGATCCTGGAGGAGGCACCAACAACTCGACTGTCGCCATGGCCATTCTGTACACCATTACCGCCCTCATTGCCATCTTGTTCGTCGTAATCATTATTACCGGCATCGTCAGGGCGCAGCGGCACCCCGAAAGGTATGGCCCTCGGCGGGCTCTGGGAAACCGACCTCGGCAGAGCCGTGCAAGGGGACTTGCCATGGCCGTTCTCGAGACGCTCCCCATTGTCAAGTTCAAGAACAACCAGGACTCAGCCAAGCCGGATCCCGACCTTGAGCTGGACGCAGCCACGACTGGTGATGGCAGAACTCAGCGGTCGTCTTCCATCTTCACCAATGACCCACGGCACGAGGCTTCCGGGCAAGCCACGGGAGTCACAGGCGCCACAGGCCATGATGAGGCTGGCAATGCGGCTCCAGTCGCAGAGTCGCGCGGCGCTGCTGATGCCGCTCCTCCTGCTGAAAACGCGGGCTGTTCCATCTGCACAGAAGACTTCAAGGAAGGCGAAGATATGAGAGTCTTGCCCTGCAATCACAAGTTTCATCCGACATGCATCGACCCCTGGCTCGTCAACGTATCTGGCACATGTCCTTTGTGGTGAGTTCTCATTCTGCCCATGAAATCCGCCCCTTGTCGCAGGTTGCTAACAGACACTGAAATAGTCGGCTTGACCTTCACGAGGCTGCCCTCGACGCGGAAGACTCGGCCATTGACAGGACTGTTTACAATAGAAATTCCACATTGCCGCCTCCTCTGGCCTTGGACGGTGAGGATGACGAGGGCGCTCATGGTCACCACCGCAACAGGCTCTCTCGCCTTTTCGACATCAACAGGTTGCGACAGGCTACGCGAGAGGAGCAAATAGCAGCTCTTCGTCAGATGCGGACAAACCGCCAGAACGAAACGGGGGCTCAGGAATCGAGCAACCACGATGCAGAGCGTGAAAGGGGGCAGAGGGCTCACCTCACAGCCAAGCTCAAGGAGAAGTTTCGAATTCGGACCAGAGCCCGGTCTCCGGAGGGTTCGGACGACTACTAAGCGTACCGGTGATCCATCTTGCAGACTTTTTGAGCCGCCATTGTCAAACTCTCGCACTCTCTTTTTCTACTCGGATTCTATTATTTTGATGCCACCCTTTTCACAGTGGCTGGCTTGTTGGTGACGGTTCACGGTTATCTGTTTCAACTACTATCTCGGCGTTAGGGAAAGGCGGGAGGGGGCGCACGGAAGCATTACAAGGAGTTTATGGTAACTTGTATATCCCTGCTCTTATTTTGCTTTCGAGGGCGGTTTCTACACTTTGGAGTTCAGAAGGGCGGGGTCTTGACGAGTTGCAAACGAGATAAACAAGACTACAAGATGATGGAGAGGGCAGGTCTGAAGGAACTGACAAGGCCTTGACCTCTTATCGTCAATCAAAGTAAAATACGAGTCAACTACGTCTGCTGTGTCCGTTCATGTATTCTGCGGCCTCCACCAATGGTGAGCTTCGTAAGTATGATGATGCTCGCAAACTCGAGGTTTTGACTTGTGATGGCATCCCCCATCGGCCTAGAGAACGGCATGTATCGATGATGGAAACAGAACCGGATAGTATGAATCTATGCTATTGTATCTGCCGAATCGAGTATTCAACGCCTACAGGTAAAAAGTAAGAGCAAACAGAATTCAGCAGGCAAAGTACCGTGCTCGCAGCCCCTGGGCTGGAGAGGCTCCATTGGAAGAAAAGTCCTCATCGCGGGGGACCTTTTTGCTTCCATGTTCATCGTGGTCCGTGAGGCGCGCGTGGGCATCGCCATCGAAAAGCCCCCGTTCATGTCAATAACTCCGGGGCTCGTCCTGCGAGATGTCCTCTTTGAGCCTGATTTGTCGAAGCCGAGACTTCCTGGCCGCATTTTGACGTGAGGAACTCTCTTCCTGAGGAGGGAATAGTGTGGATATGGATTGGAGTGGTGTCTCCTGGATGGCTTACCGCTCCCATTTATGCCCAGTTCGCTTCTCCCTTCTCCGCTTCGTCCTTCTCTCGCGTGGACATTGATCGAGTAGTCAGATATTCAAGGTGATGAAGGCCGTCATGACTCCAAACTCATAACTCGAAATCCCGGTGAGATGTGACGGTCGAACTCCGAGTTTGCACAAGTATCCCCGGCATTCTTCTCACTAATATATCAATCGAAAGCAGTTCAACTTGTGAATCTATGGTTTTAAATCATCTATCCTGGCATTCCCAGTCTTTCTTATAAGTCAAAGTGAGAATGAACTGTAGCCTTTTCAATCTCTCTTGCGTTTGCCTACATTGATGAACTTTCCGTACACTAATCATAACAAAGCAGAGAAAGAAGGG